CGCTTATTATGTCAGTCATACCACTGATTAACGTATTCAACCTTATTACTGCATTTCGTCGTCCAAAAAATTCTTCGTCATCCACGAGAATTTTCACAGCTATGTTTCTCCTCTGTCGTAATTAGAAATCTGCTTTGAAAAGGTTAGCGTCTCATAGATGGCTTTGTAGCCAATTGTATGAAGTTATATGAACATATAGTTGGCTGCACCGACATCTATGAGGCATTAACCTGTTCAAAAGAGATTTCCGATTATTGTGGAGAGGTGAAATATAGCTGTGACGTATTTTATTTTTTGGTTTGGTTGGGTTTTGGGCGCCGAAATAAACTATATGGTTCGCTATCATCATACGTTAATCAATGGTGATACCAAAATTTTATCTACGACCAGCTATAGGGCAAGTCAAAAATCTAATTAATTTAATTATTTAATAAAATTAAGTGGACATAACAATAAACCGATTTAAATATATCATCAAGATGCCGGTTGTTGAAGCTAGCAAGCAATATATGAATATCGTCAGTTCTTGTGATTAATGAGCATAGATCAATTAGAAGATAGCGGGCGCTAAACTTACTTTGCTGTTCTAGGACATGAAAAAGTACGTGGGCTCAAGAGATGGGCTCAACGACCGGAAAATCTATTTATAAGGCACACTCTACTGCCCCGGCGTAGATAATAGTTGTTTACATATCTTGAGTCTACGGTGGGATCAAAGTCCAAGACGCGAAACCCCAGAGATCATAAACGCCTTTTACGCACGAGAAACATACAAACACAACTTTATCTACCACGTGCAGGGTAAGTAAAAATCAAGGTAATATTTGAGGAGATTTCAAAATAGGTAAATTAAGAGTAGTAATAAATAATAACGAACATTTCTCGGGGCCGTTTTCTTACCGCATCCGGCGAACGTTCAATAGCGGAGAGGCTCACTTGTGATTTGCAGATGTGAAGACATCTGTCAAAATGTCACTCCATATACTAATCACAAGTGAACGTGTCGTCATTGCGTCAAAGAGATATTTGATAGTGGGTCCTAAAATGACTTTACCGCTCGGAGCTCGCGGGCTGAAAAGCGGGACGTAACGCTCGGTAACCCTACTCAGTAAGTCCACTTAACTACCAGGTTGTAGATAAAATAGGTTAATGTTAGTTCAACCGTCACACTTCAATCACTAAAAAATGACATTCATAATATTAAACTACCAATCACTCAGCGTGACATTAAATGCCAAGTGCACAGCATTTAGATTCACATAATCAATACAGAGTATCAAAATATAGTATTTACAAAATTCAGTCTTGTTCCTCCCCATTGCATTTTATTGCATAATACCTACATATGGTAACTAATCCAAATTTAGGGAGATATACATGCTATACATGTAAAGTAGAAATGGCACAAATAGGTAATATTAATCACATTTTTTACATTAGGCAGCAAAAATAATCCGTTTTTATTTTCGGTAAACCTATCAACGCTATACCTACGTTTGCAATATTTGACTACATCCGTGTTAGACCGTGGTCCTATGCACCACTAAATTCCAATTATTTGTTAATAAATGCAAATATGTAGTCTGAAGATTGGCATTTGAGTGACATGACAAGTGTGTTTAGATGTTTCCAAAGCCCACCTAGGACCCAGATTAGATGGAGTTGTATCTACTTGATACTACTCGCTATGTGCACATCAAAAGTTTCTGATGTTTGTTCAATAGGCTAGTTGATACTTCTTTAAGTAAGTTTAAATAGTTAATATTTGTTCTATCAGACCAAAAAAATTGAAACTATATTTTTTCAGACTTAAAAGGCTGTAAAAATTTAAAAATATATTTTTCTTAAACAGGCGAAAACGCTGTCCGCCATGTTTGGCCCATATATGAATGTCCTCTCTCGTCATAGTAAGTAGTTGACAGCAGCATAACTTCTCGAACTTTAGGCCTATAAACATGACTTCTACTAGTTTATAAATACCAACACTTTAATACTTGGAGCATCCCTTATGTTCGGGACACATTTTACATCTTACTGAGCAGATTTCATCATCTCGTTTAACTTGAACATATGTTTATCATTATATCAGACGCACTGTACTCAGTAGAGCAGAACTCTGGGTTGAGGGCCAAAAATTTTCGGAAAACTTTGATCAAAAAAGTTGAGTTTTTTAGAAATATTCAAAGAAGACCACGTTAGTCCGCGTGTGATATACTGATGACGTTTCTTTGTTTACAATTTGTAAGACGTCACATCATGGCCTATAGTGTTTTCACCGTTTCGTATTAATATTGAAAAATATATTTTTTTAAATTGGACCTACATATCCATCGTGGGCTTTTAAAAATCGAAATCGATGTATTTCGTTTTCCTAAGGCAAATACTGTAAGAAATTCTCATTTATTCTATGAAATTGGATACGAGTCAAGCAGCTCATTAGGGCAAAGGCATTTTTTCTAAGCATTTAAGAAAATGGTATACATTGCTGTATCTTGATGTGATAATCACTACCCCTCCCTTAGACATACCCAATTCTCGTTCCGAAACCTATATTTTCCAGAGTGATATATTTCAAAGATTTTGGCCTTTCAAGTTTGAAGACGTACCACACCAACATCTATCAGCTTATTCGAATTCCTAAGTTGTGTTTATGTTCTATACCGAGTGTTTCAAATTCTACCCTCACCATTGGGATCTCGGAAACGGTAAGAGATACGAAGTCACTTGTTACTGAGGGAAAAGTTGCGTATTTAGGTAACTAACAAAATGCGGCTTAGTTTCGAAATTCAAAGTACTTACTTCCGGAGAGAGACAGAGAAAACAGAAGTTTCGCAAAATGGCTTTAATTTTTCCCTGACTTTATTTGTAGTGGGGTTTTGAAATAAATTGCACTTTAACATTTGCCATTATTTCGCCTCTTCAAGATGGCCTAATTAGAATTTCAATAATATGACGTTTCGTCTAGCATCGACTTTATTTTTTCGTATTGACGCCATAATATATTTTTGCGCAGGTGAATAGAGTTTTTAGTTATGATTCGAAAAATGTATAATACGTCATATGTCAAAAAAAAAGAAGTTCCGAGGTAGGCCTTGAAATTATCAGATAGTCATACCTCAAATTGAACTCGGTAACAGAATTTGGAAGATTGCGAAGAAAGGAAATAAACCGAGCAGAGAATAATGTACAGAGAAGAGTTAGGCTTTGCCTACAAATAACGGACAACATTTTAAACATCTGCTTTGATTTTTCCCTGCTTATTTATGATTATTATTGTTATTAGCATCAGTAAAATTTTCTGTTTGTCTTCAGGTTTTACCATACCTTTTTATTTCCTTATAATTTTTATCCAACAACAAATTCATGACCAACTAATAAAATGCCTCATTGAATTTAGAACTGAGTAGTCCTTTTAAATGTACAAAATTCCAAAGTAGCGTCCATATGAAGAAACAAAGATGGTGATGGAAGTCGAAAGGAGAAACCTCGAATGAAAATTTGACTACGCCATCTTATGGAGGAGAATAAGTAACAATGACAACATACAATTTATTTTGAAATCCCATCTCAAATAAAGTCCAGAAAAAAATAAAAATGTTTTTGGGATAAATCAGGTATGCAAAACAAATTATCCAATAATTTCAAGGCCTTACTACGAAATTCTTTTTTTAAATAAATAAGGTTTGGCAATGTCAACGCATGATGTACATTTTTGGAATAAGAATTAATTCATCTAATATGGCATCCATAATAAAAAATAAAGTTGATGTTGAAGGACAAGAGACGAAACGTCATATTGAAATCTACTTATGCCATCTTGTAGGAGAGAAAAAGTTGCTATATTAATATGCAATTTATTTTGAAATTTCACAACAGATACAGGCAGGAGAAAAATTAAAACGATTAATGGAAAATCCGGTTTTCTCGGTCTCTCTCTGGAAGTACTCCCGATTTCAAAGCTTATTATAAATTATCTAAATACGCAACTTTGCCTCCATTTAAGCGACTTCGTATCTCCTACAGTTTAAGAGATTCCAATGGTCAGGGTTAAATTTGTATTCATTAGCAAATTGTGGATATTTTGTGGTGCATGGTTTCCTTGATTGTTTGAACTTTTGTTGATCAGGCATAATTTTTTCATAGTATTATAATAAACTAATGTCATAAATTGTACTTTGGTGCTCCTTATCTTGGCCTATTTTATAAAATAGTTCTAAGATGGAAGAATTGTCTAAATACATTCACTTTACATGACGCATGTTTCCCCTATTGCCATACCTAAAAGACTAAATTTTTGTAAAAGAAAAGTTAATGCATCGAATATATTCAATTTTCTACGCAGGAATACGTTAAAACTAAAATTTAAAAGACAAACAAAACAAAATTCACATTAGTGACCAGTGCGATACAACAAACGAGTAGCTTTAAGTATTTAAAGCTAATATTAATAAGATTGAAATAAGGTCAATATCTATATATTCAAAACCTTTTACATTTCGTAAATGTAGTAAATGAGGTAGTTTAAAGTCTCGTTGTTGAAGAGGCACTTTGATGAGTCATACCAAGCACCTTTAGATAAAAGTATGATTCATATTTCAGTCATATTTAGATATCACTCAGTCTTCAATTTTCAGTCAGTATTTGGTTATAATTATTAGAATATCAATCAGGGATGAAAAATTAGCTAAAATATTTTACTCTATATTACCTAATGAGACTTACGTCATAGATTTGTCATAATCCCTGAATACTGTTTGTTAATTCAGGTATTATATGGGTCATTTTATCTATTCTCTATTGAACATAGCAAAATGAAGGACGTAAAGGTGGCTACAGATACAACTGCAAGCTTGTCCAACATGCCTGTTCAATCTTTTTGTACAAGCACGCTTGAATGTCTGTAGGGAAATGTGGCACAGCTTTGCAATTGTACAAGCAGCTTGATGATTGAATTGATTTTAATTATACATGCTTGAATTAGGCGCGCTTGCGCAAGCAAAACGGTACGTGTGTACCCAATATTCTCAAGCTTGCACAAGTTGGCGTCCTTTGATGATCATATCCTGCTTTTGAATCAAAGATGATACAAGAGTCTAAAGACTTAAATACGTCTATTCGTCCATTCCAAGATAATTGTGCCAGTCACGCGGATATATTTTCAGCTCGCTTAGTAAGTTAATGTGAGAATAGGTTTTTCTTTTCATCAACCATTCTCAACACCACACCGCACGCTTTTTTATTCGGGATTTTCTTTTCTTCACAAGAACACAAGCAGCCATCGCTGTCCTAGCTCGACATATTTTATTAAACTACCTCCACTTTTATCAAGCATGCTTGTACGTGTAGTGCCAAAGGCAAATAGTGCATACTTGTACAAAAAAATTAAAAAAGCATGCTGGACAAGCTTGCAGTTGGGTCTGTAGCCACCTAAAAATATCTATATCCTGAGAGCTATAACAGGTTTTCTCTTGGACGACGGTGATTTCTTAATGACTACTGATCGAACATTCCTAGGAACACCTACCAAGAAGCGGCACATTACCAGCTAAAAAATTGACCGAGTTTGACATAACTATATGGTTTTATGTCCACCCGTAGTTATAGACTTATATACGAAAAGGTATCTAATTAAAATATGTATACATTGGTATAAAATTGGCCTAGCCAATTGCGAAATAAGTAAACAACACATTAACACATCAATAAACATGGATACGGTGGTTGCCGAAATCAACAACTGCAATTCGGCCGTCCGGTGTCAAGCAGATGCCGCTTGGTCTATCCATCTCGCCATAACCGGTGCCTGAATGCCCTACTTTCCACAAGAAATTTCCATCACTTTGAAACACCTGCAATAATCCGTTATAAATTATTAGTTCAGTTCAGTTCATCTATCTGAGAAAAAATGAAACATCATACCCAGGACCGCGTCTTCTATGTAACACTTTTTCCTCGAGGGCTTCATCATTGCTAAATTCCATTTCACAACACTCAAAAATGGAAAAAAGGAACTTTTTGACTTGACTTTTAGAAAAAAAAATGTTAGTAGTAACGATAAAAACCGTATAACACATAACTTTGACAAACCATCTCCCAAGAAAGGTTTTTTTTATACTCCAACACCCATTGGGTACTGTGGGGCCAACGTTAAGTTGTATCATCCTTTTTTATTTTGAAACTAATTTTATCACGGCTCTTCATAGTGCACTCTAGGTAAAAATACAAGAGTAATTATTTGTAGCAAATTGAAGGTAAAATTCAACAAATTGCGCGTTTCGAAAAAAAAAAACAAACAGTGGCGAACTACTTTATTTGGAAAAATAATGCTACTAATCCCCTGTATCTCCGCCACTGGTGCTCATTAATTTTCAGTAAAGACTTTTGAATGTGGACATTACTTAGGTAAATTCACATACCAAGTTTTAGTTAATTCCAGATGACAGTTTTGAAGATATTAAGAAAATTGTTTTCATCTCCCCGTATATTTTTAATGAAGCCCTTGAGGAAAAAATGTCACATAGAAAACCTCCCTTAAAATTCGGTCCTGTGTATGCTGTTTCATTTTCGGTCACGACTTGTGAATCACCCTGTATAGTATACATAGAGTACATTGGGTGTAATGTATTTGAATTATTTAAATAAATTTTAACAATATTCATTAATACATAATCAAAAGAAACTTCAACTTATATATATAATCATACAATTTTTACGAGTGATTTTGCGTAATATTATAAAATAAATTTATAAAGTGAGTGTATTTCTAATAGATGTACCGCTTTACGAAAAGATCTTGAGCGCTGTTGTCTCGAATGAGGGTAGAATGTTATATATTTTAGGGCCAAGATCCAAGATATGTCAAATCAGGTTGATTAATATTTCTGTGGCTCATTGGTTAATCCAGATTTCGATGACTTCTTCATCTTGTGTTATATTGATGTTTTTACATATAAACTTTCATTTTTAATTTTATGGAAATATATACACACAGTAAATATGTTTAAGGATCTAACGTTGAATATTTCTTTCTTAAATAATAAAGATGAAGGATATCTTTTTTATAAACTGTTTTCAAAATATATTTTTGAGCAATTCCATATCGCATTAATGATTCTATTATATACAACAAATTTTCTGGTAGCATATCCTGCAAAACAGAATTTATCAACTAATTTAGGAATATTATTTTTTAATTTATGGACATGATATTCCCACTTCAAAAGTCTATTGATTATTCCTAAATATTTCGTACTGGAAACCTCTAAAATATCATTTCCAAAATTCGTAATAGAAATTTTACAAAAATCAGGTTGATTACCAGCAGTTGCAGAAAATGCTGCATAATGCGTTTTGTTTAAATTTAATCTTAATAGTCTAACCAGGATTTAATTTTTTGTAGATGAATAGTTGTTGAATGCTCTTTTACTACATTCAAAGTGTCTCCTTTGAATAAAATATCATCACCATATGAAATCAAAGTTCCTTCTATGTTAAGGCTAGTTAGTGGATTAATGCATATGATAAAAAAATAGTACCCTGTGGAACTTTTTAATAATAATAATAATTTATTCAGAATAATTACAAATTGTGAACAAACGCATATGCCACAAAAGGAAAATATCCTTGTCTGTGGATATCATGCTAACACAACATACATATAACATAGCAGTTGTAATAAACTGAAAGGACTAAAAAAATCTATATAATAATATTTAAGGGTTCACCATAAGATTCCTGAATTTGAACAATTTGATTTCTGTTAGATAAATAATTATGATCGACATAAGTGTGATAAACAATTTTGAAGTATATTAAATTTGGATGGTCTCTCTTTTATAGATTTTTCAAAAGGCTTTGCAAAATTGTTTATCACACTTATGGGCCCATAACAATTGTTTATAAGATGTTTGCTTTGCAAATTGGGCTAGTATATGTTTTAAATTATGAAGAAACTGCCCTGGTTTTGAGTATCAGATTCATAATGTGTTATTATTATATAAATGTTAAATGCTTTTATAATTTTTGATGATACTCCATCAAGCCTAGGCGAACAGATATTTTTTAGAGTGCTAATATGACAAATAAGTTCATTTTCTGCGACAGGATAAGATCACTGATGAACATAAGGTGGATTAGTAGATGATCTATTTTTTTAAGGATTCATGATATATGCTTTCCGTTTCAACGCCAAAGCAAACAGTTTTTTTGCATTTACAACGTCCTGTTCTAAGAGATGGTGTATCACCAACCTATTCCGTGCGCTGTGAGGTTAACGCTTAGAGTAACCCCAATTAGGAAGTTTCCTATAGTTTAAAATACTGCTAGTTTCACTTGTATGTAATAGTAAAACTGGTATTTTTCTCAAATCTCAAAGAATTATTCCGCTAGCTTAATTAAGAAAGTTATGACATATTCTGTGTTGGGTGCAGTTGCCATGGTGGACCCATGTTCATATGAAAATTTCGGCTTCAAATTGACCAAAATAATTGGCTCTTAATAGGAAGAAAACAAAAAAGTGACGAATAGGAGTGTCAGCTTACGCTGTTTTTCAACCCGACCTAAAAACGTTGACACAAACTATAAAGGAAAAAAGTACCTACATTTAAATGGCACAGTTCACAACATTGAATGGCCACCAAATCCTGAACATGCTCAAAATTGTTTACAAAATTATGCTACTTGAGGGTCCAACCGGATTCATGGGGCGGGCACGGACCGCCTTGCCCCCCATGAGGGTGCCTATGACTGATATGCTTGTATTTGTGCACCTAGGTACAATACAGTATTTGTAAGTCCATGGTCTGAGCCATCTTTATCCGTTTTCACCGTAAATACGGAACAGAGCAACGTCTGTAAATAGCGCGAAGAGTGCGCAGCGGGTGCATCGCTTTGTGTAAACGATGGTAGGTGCGAAGTCATCACTCGGTCTCGCGCCCCAAAAAAGAAACTTTATCATTAGCATAAATTTATCATTTTTTAAGGCATTAAAAAATTATCAGTGGCCCGTTTTACTAAGACTAAAATAGGAAACTTCCTGATTGCTGCAGCGGGCTAGTATGGCGCAGGTCACACGACTGATACTACACCATCTCTTGAGCTACAATAGACCAATGAGTCGCAGTGGACAATCGAGATTGATCCACTCACAAAAAACTAATACCATCTCTTATCAAATAGCAGTGCAAAGGTTCCGAACAACATGGCTATATAGTCGAAATCACGAAAGATGACTATTACGTTATACCATAAATTGTACTGAAGTAATCAATGGACGTACGTCGATGATAAAATCACGATGTCAGGAACATAATGACAGCAAATTTATATTATGATTTTGCGAAGTTAGGTTATTTCACTGATTATTTTTATTTTCATTTTATTTCGTGGTTTTGAGTGATACCTTAATAATAATTTTAGTGGGGAGTTTTTTTTTTTGAGAAAAATAGTTATGAGTAGAATACCTTAGTATAGGAACATCAATGACCAAAGTATTATTCGAAAACAACATAACCTGCTTTAACATATCCTAACTATTCATCTTTCAAACATGATCGATCATGCAACATGAAAACATCGTCTATCTTTGTCGGATACATGCAAATTAGCAATACAGATTGTTTAGACAATAAAATTCTGTTTATCTCTGTCTAACATATCAGAAACTTCATTAAATATATGCACAAATCGCTGTCGTTTGTCTTTATTACAGACTAAAATGATGACTTAATCGTCATCTTTCGTGATTTCGACTATCTATGATGTACTGCGTCTAACACAGCACTATGTAAATACTGCCATAGTCAAGGTCTAGTGCCTGGATTTTGCTTTCTACAAGCCCTAACAAGAAAATGTTCGGACATTATCTAATTTGATCTAAAAGTTTGTTTACTTTTGTAAGGTTGAAGCATAATTGTTTTTTTTCATAAGAATGAAATATATTGTTTTCACATCATATCAAGAAAACTGTTTTCAAGAAATATGATATTGAAATATAAAATCAAACTAAGATTGATAACAACGCAACGTTTTGCCGACACGACATTAAAAACAAAATAATATCAGGCCATTGAAATAAAAGAGTATTTAAAATTTGATGTTTTGATTTAAGAATCAATTCTGTGAATTAATTTGCTCTAAAAAGTCGCACGGTAAAGCAACAAACGATGCAGTCAGCGTTTTAATCAAAAATTGCTTTATCAAGGAAAGAGTTCTCGGACTATTGCTAAACAAATAAACATCGCAAAGTCTACGGTGGCAGATATTGCCAAAAAGTATGGAGACACAGGTTCAACTCAAGTTTCAAGACACCGCAGGAAATGTTTCATGAGAAACGTGCCGTCGCGTCGGTGGATTCGTGAGTCTGGTTTACATAGTTGTAAGGTACGTCCCTGATAGCACGAAATATTCATTAAATATTTATTCAATATTTAATAATATTTTTATCTTCCTTAAATATTTGTTATCTCAAACAAATATTTAATAAATATTTTGAATATAATATTTTTATTAAATATTTATTCAGTATCTTTTAAATATTTTAAATACAATATTTATTTTAAAATTTTCATCAAATATTTACTTTTTAATCAATTGAAAATATTAAATCTCCATTATTCAGAAAATATTAATTAAATATTTTCGGCTACGGCGCATGTGCGTGTATATATATATATCATCAAAATATAAAATTGATATTCAAAAATCTGTCCTCATATATACTAAGTGACATATAAATCCGAACACCCAGTTTAAATGGTTTTATTTTAATAAAATTTTGTATAAGTACATAATAAGTAAATGATAAAAATTTCAAAATGATTGCACTGCTTTAAAGCCCTTTAATAATGTGTGGATGCACCCTGATGTGCTACGCATTCTCCAACGCGCCTAGGCATGCTTCTGATCAGGTGGTCAATGTCCTCCTGTGGTATCTCATTCCAGGCAACCACCAACTCCTCTCGAAATGCTTCTAGAGTCTGAGGAGGACGTTGCAAATTGAGCAATCTCCTACCCATCATGTCCCACACGTGCTCAATTGGGGATAAGTCGGGAGATCTTGGTGGCCATGGTAACAATGTGACATCATTATGTTGAAAGAAGTCTATTGTGACTCTTGCAACATGTGGTCGGGCATTATCTTGTTGGAAAGTTGGATCTGCCAGGGTGTCAAGATAGGGTAAAAGATGGGGTTCTAGAACTTCGTGGATATGACGCTGCGCATTCATGTTATCTCTGATGAAGATTAAAGGTGACCTGGAACCATAAGCTATAGCACCCCAAACCATAACTCCAGCAGTGTGATGAACATGTCTTTCAACAAAAAACTGTGGATTCCTCCTTTCACCACGTCGCCTTCTAACCCTGGCACGACCATCGTGCATGCCTAAACAAAATCGAGACTCGTCACTAAAGACAATACTGTCCCATTCCTGATCCCAGAGTGACCGTTGTCTGCACCACTCAAGGCGATTACGTCGGTGTTCTCGAGTTAAAGGGAGGACCCAGTGTGGCCGGTATGAAAACAAGCCAAAACTTCTCATTCGTCGGTAAACACTTCGCATGCCAATAGGTCTTCCGTGTTCTGCAAACCATTCATTTGCAATGGACCTGGTAGTGGAGAAACGGTCCCTTAAGGCCAATAATCTTAGGCGGCGATCTTCACGGTCTGTTGTTCTACGGCGGCGTCCAGTGCCCCTTGCTCTTTGCGTACGGCCTTCTCAAAGCCATGCCTGACAACACCTAACCACAGTGTCTACACTTCTTTGCACTCTAACTGCAATTGCCCGAAAAGAAAGTCCAGCTTCCCGAAGTCCCACTATACGGCCCCTATCAAACTCACTAAGTTGACGAAATCGTACAGGTCTCCGTACTCTAGGCATCGTAACCGATCGTAAAGGATGTCAAGAACCAAAATCCGCCAACGTTGATTCTTTATTGCGGCTGAAATATTCATTTTTAGAGCGTTAGTGAATTAAAAAAAAGCAGTATAAAAACCGGAATGTCCAACTGATAAGGCTGAAAATTTTTTCACTTGTTATTTACAGTAAGATAAATACATTCACCAACTTTTATTAAAATAAAACCATTTAAACTGGGTGTTCGGATTTATATGTCACTTAGTATATTTTCTAACACACTGGAAGGTGTCAGTTTGGTGCGTTGTTCAGAAGTAAGAGATCTAGGTGTGTTGTTTGATGTTAAATTAGGATTTACAGGTCATATTAATACAATAGTATCGTCCGCTATAAAAAAGCTCAGTTTTTTTATAAGGAACTGTAAATCGTTTGGTAGCGAAACGTCACTGAAGGCTTTATACTGCACCTTGGTGCGTTCTAAGCTGGAATATGCATCTAGTTTATGGCATCCATATTACCAAATATATACGAATGAAATTGAAAGTGTACAGAGTTGATTTCTTAAATACTTGACTTTCAAATTAGATGGTGTTTACTCCAATCGTGAGCTGAGAAGAGTTTGTAATAGGTTAAAATTCCTTTACAAACTCATACACTGTGATATTGATTCTTCAGCTTTGTTAGCTAAAATTGATTTTCCAGAAGATTTCTCGCTTCCCATGTACTTTATGTGCTCCACGTTTAACACCATAGGTGATAATTGTGACATTCATCATGATAAAGTCAAAGATATATTAGCTGTATTCAGCGACTACTATTATTCAATTTATAACATTTAAGACATGTAGGTGAGTAGGTGTAGCTATTTATTTTTTGTTTCATCTTTTTTTTTCAGAAACTGGGCGAGCTATGATTGTAGTTAAAAATACTGTAACGTCAAATGATATTCAATTATGTTGTCCTTTAATTGGATGTATCTGTTGGGCAATAAATATATTATTATTATTATTAAATATTTGGAAGAAATATCGGAAAAATATATGAATTCTATATACTACAAATATCAATACCTAATGAATATTTTATGAATATATAAGAAATATATTTATTAAATAAAAATATTTAACAAACTTTATTTAAAAATGTTTAATAAATATTTGATGCTATCGGGGGTAGGTTGCATATTTATTCAGTAAAATCTTTGCTTTAGGCAAAAGAAAAGCTCGTGCTTACGGAAAAACAAAAGAAAATGCGATTAGCGTGGGCTAAGGAACGGGCAATGTGGACTTACGAAGACCGGAAAAAGATCATTTTTGGCCATGAATCGAAATTTGATGTTTGTGTGAGTGACCACCGTTCCCGGGTTATAAGAAACAAAAATGAAGCGTTTCGTAAACACTGCTTAAAGAGAACAGTAAAGTTACCGTCAGGTTCAATGGTATGGAGGAGCATATCCGTTTTTAGCGTTGGAAAAATTCATTTCATAGACGGAACTGTAAACTAAGCTAAATATAAATAGGAGTCGCAGAGGAGGATCGTTATTGAAGCACTCACAAGAAACCTAAGCTAAGCTAACTATCAAAATATCCTTGAAACCAATTTGCTAGTGTCTTTAGATCAAAATACGATAAATCGAATCATTTGAATATTTGGGCATATACGTAGACAGTAAATTAAAATTTGAAGGGCACTATGAATATATTATTTCAAAAATATCCAAGAAAATAAATTACTTTTAAAGAATTTTGCAACACTATCATTCTTCCTATTTGTTATATTGTTCGACTATTTTGTTCACTGCAAATGAAACTGCATTTTCAAAATTACAAATATTACAATGTAAAGCTATGAGAATCATCTTAAATAAAAATAAATGTACTAGAATAAATTTTATGCTGAAAGAGCTACAATGGTTAAATATCAAAAATTTCATAGCCTACTTGATTTTCATTTTCATATTCATATAAAAAATCATCTTCTACCAAATCACTTAGAAAATTTTATTGTATTGAACAATGAGTGCCACAATTATTCTACTAGAGGAAGTAGAGAATTTCATTTACAAAACTGCAGTAGTAATATAACGAGCAAGTCAGTATTTCAAAAGGGATTGTACGAATTTAATAAATTAAGTAATGATATCAAAATGTGTGTCAGTTTGAAAATGTTCAAAGGGAAATTGAAAAAATATCTCATGGAAAACCAGAATTCATAGTGATGAAATTTTGTATAAGAATAGTCTTGAAGACATAATATATTTTGTGATATACTGTGTAATATGGATATTATGGACATTGTAGCATTAATGCTAAATTAATCTGAAACAAACAAACAAACAAAATTCCAATTTTATCACCAGACATAAACTTATTTTTCAACATGGGATCATATGGCCAAAACCACGAAAGAATGGTTGCAGGATAACATTTCCGTCCTTGAATGGCCTTCCAGTAGTCCTGATTTAAATATCGAAACTGTACGGCACAAAATTAAGAAATGATCCACAACGAAACATTTCTGTTTTACGAGTAAAATTACAAAATATGTGGGATTATTTAAGGCGGAAGACTGCGAAAACCTTGTTAAAACTATGCTAGCTAGAAGTAATGCTGTTATTAAGGCAAAGGGAGACGTAACAAGCTATTGAAATGGTTCGTTCGAACATTTATGTGACGACCAAATATTGCGTTGTTATCAATATTAGTTTAGTTTTATAGCTTAATACTTGATAATATTATTATTAAAATGATGTCCAATGTCTTATAAAAGATTAAAAAAATAAACTTCAAGGAAAATTAGATAATGTCCGAACTATTTTGTGTTAGGGCTCGTATATAGGTGCTTCATGCTTGGTAAATTTACCTGTATCCTGTTGTTTTTCGAATCGGCCACAACTATATTTCCTTCGTCGTCACATATGATGCCTTGTGGCCTAAGGAACTCGTTGCAGTTTGAGCCTTCAATTCCGAGGTACCGACCCTTTTGTAACTCATTGTCAACTATCACAATACGATGGTTGTTGAAATCAGTTACGATCACACTGCCTTGGGGCGTGAAGCACACTCCTGTGGATTCAAATAAACAGTAATTAGGAAATTACAGATTTTAAAGGGTGTTCTTGATGTCGGTTCTTTTATTTACACGGCGCATAGATCGCAGATTTCTAATAACACACACAACAATCTTAAGAAAACCGAGATATAAGGTTCCAAACAAATCGTTGATATATGAATAGGTCAAAATATAGGATGTGCGTTAATATCCAACTCAGGCACCACGCGCCATGTAGGCAAAATTATTTTTTTATAAATCGGATTTGAAAAACCGAAAATCTCACAATCGTGTAGTCGTAATGAACTTGTCAATATGATGTTAGAATAGATATGAGTTCCTTCCCTGAGTCGAACGACAACTTTACGCCGAGTTTATGAGCAACATGTGACAAAGCGGTATTTAAAATTCCTTATCAAATGATCAATCAGTACATATGTTCATTTTTTTCTTTCTGTTAATGTTCCACAAATTGATATCAGCATGATTTGGTATATTTAAGTAATCAGTCAGACTGTCTACATCGCGCAGAAGATACGAGTATCTACGTTCAGGACTAGTTTTTGCTTATTCTTACCTCTTGGAGAGTCGAAGTGCTTCCACATCGTATTCGCGCATTCAAAACCAAACTTACACATGAACTTTCCTTCTCGCGTGAATAGCTGAATACGATGGTTTCTGGTATCTGAAACAACGATCTGACCAATATAGTTGCAGGCCACGTCCCAAGGGTAGTTGAATTGTCCACTTCTGCCCCCTTTGCTGCCGAACGTGAAAAGGAAACGGCCATCTGACCTGAACACCTATTAAGTGAAAGACAAGTTATCGATTATTTACAGAACTTTGACATAAAAAACTATGAATATTTAAAGCAGTGGATCTCAAAGTCCCAAAAGTATGCACACACAAATAACTGGGAAACTAAGGAGCTAGGGAAAACCTTCAAAGCTAAATTTAAAAAAATCAAATTGCGCATCTAGAGGTGACCTTACATTTTACGAAGGTCATTTCAAGGGCAAGTTGATTTTTCCAAATTGGAACCCCCATTTTTTATTGCAGAAATAGAAAGGAAAAAAATCCTTTTCAACGGTATAAGGGGCTGAAATTACACCTGGAGGTTATTTCAAGGTCAACTGTTGCTCCTTCATGAAATGTTGTGAAGCAGCGGATAGGTGGAAAAAGAAGAATATTAAAGAACGCTGTTTGATGGTGGTCTTCATTCTGACCTTGAAGGTAAATTCAAGGAAAAATTGATTTTTCCACATGTAAATCATCAATTTTAATCCCAGCGCAGAATATGGGGAAGAATCTCATGTTCAAAGGCTTAATTAGCGGAGGTAAAATCAAAACTAGACGTTATTTCGAGGTCAAATGACTTTCGTGGATTAGACTGAAGCGACCGATAATCTTTGCAAGTGAATAAGAAGTCTTGTTACCGGACACCAGCCTGTCTTGCCGTTACTAGCCGGAAATAGTCTTACCTCGATATCCTGAAGAATCAGTCCAAGATATTTTTCACAAAATTGAGGGTTTCCGCGTGAAAAAGCAATTTAACCTTGAATAAACCTTCAAGGTCATAGCCAAGTTCAGAATGAATATCACCATCAGGTGTGCCGTTGGCTGTCCTGCAATTTTCACTTTGAAGGTTCTTTGATATCCTTCTTTTTTCCACCTATCTGCTGCTGCTTTACAACATTCCATGAAAGAGTCACTGCTGAACTCTAGATGTAATTTTAGCCTCTATGATATTATACCGTTGAAAAGGACATTTGTTGCCTTTCTATTTCTGCAATAAAAAATGGGGGTTGCCAATTGAAGAAATCAACTTGCCCTTGAAATAACCTTCAAGGTAAACGTTAACGTCAAATCCAAGGTCACCATTACATATGTCATTTGAATTCCTAAAACTTTGTATTTAAAGTTTTCTAGCACCCTTAAATTCAGAGATATTTGGGTGTGTCCATACTTTTGGGACTCCCTGTATATTCGTTTAATGTAATACAATTGAGAAGAGGTACAGCCAGAAACTACAAAATTTAAGAACCCGCTAAAGCTAGTACCAACTTTTGATAGAATCCAGTGGTCGTCACTACTAACCTGTATTCTATGATTGTCCTTATCTGCGACAATAATGTGACCCTGAGGGCTGATAGCAATTCCAGCTGGCCTGTCAAATTCACCTCTTCTTGATCCTTGTCTTCCGAATTTGAATAGAAAATGACCGTTGCGATTGAATACCTAATAAATGAAAAACATATTATACAATTTTGATTTAACAAAACCTTTTTCTGTTTCTTTCACTTTAAAGTAATAACGCATTGTTTGCATTCCAGTCCATTCAAATAGTCTGGGTATTGAATAACTTGGAGCAACCATGGTTAATATCGGATTCGAACTTTTTCGCCACTATTTGAAGAAAATAACTTGGGCGCAAAATAGCAAAAACACTCGCTATACAGTGCAAACCATATACCACTGACGTCAATGTGTACGAGAGAGAAGCGCGAGAAGCGTGCGTTAGACAGAGATAGAAGCACCTGGTTTTTAACCAGTACCGGATGCTGCGCTGTTCGATTTTCGTCCGTAGGCGCGCATGACGTCACGCAGAGAGTGACTCTCATTTAGATTGATATGGATAACGTGCATATTTTCACCTACGAGCCAAACGGCTGGAGGGATGTTAACATATAAGCTTTCGTTGGATTCGTCTTAGCGGTGCGAGTGACAGTAGCTGCATTGACATTTTATAAGAAACAAAATGGTGGATTTTAATAAAAGATTCCAACCTTGTAATTCCTACTTCATAGGCTACAGCTCAAACGGCTTGATAGATTTTCACATATGAGGTGTCGTTGAATTCGTCTTAGCGGTGCGAGTGATATTGACTACATTAAAATTTTATGCAAAACAAAATGGCGGATTTAAATAAAATATTTGCTGATACTTCAGGTGCATTCAGTTTATTCGTTAATGATGCGGTTAGTGGAATGTCTGGAGTATCATCTTTCTCTACGCTGCAATACTCTGAGTATGCGCTATCGTTTCGCCCCAAAATATATGACCTTATTCTGTACTTAAACTCTACTACTTTCCATAGGAATGGCATCATCTTTTAGAGTACGATATCTTTTAGGTGTGTAACCCAAAAGGATATGTTTCAAGTTGACCTTATAGGCACTTTTTGTATGATGTAGCCATTTTTTGCTAAGGTTTGGGTCTTGAGGAAAACTGTGGAACTTCATGTCTTTGCAAGGATTCCGTTTAGATTGGTTGTCGGAATTACATCCCACAACAGCACATCGCATTTTTATCAATTTAATAACATCACAGGGTATATAAAGTATGTATAACTAATACAACAAGCCACAAGCCCACCAAAAATCATCAACAAATCGTACTATATAGTATTAACCACGATACACGTGCACTGAAGTAACGTTACGACAATCCTGCCACTGGTAACCACGTGCCGACAACTCTCTGGGTGACGTCACGAAGCTCCGCCCACATGCTCAACATCCTATCTTCAGTGTACATTATGTGTATCGAGGTTTTTAACATACATATTGCATGCTTCTCGCTCTTCTCTCTCGTAAACCGACCTGTGACCAGAATCTACCTGTATCCAACCAGTAGCGCAACCTGTAGTCCGCCGCCAGGTACCGGTGGTTACAAGTTCGAGTGACTGTGATGAAGGTGAAGGGCCGAGGAAGGGGGCAGTCTGGCCCGATCGATGATAGAGAGCGGATCGACGGTTGCGGCAGACAGACGATACGTATTGCAGCAGAGCGACAAAGTATAATATGTATATACAGGGTGACTTTGAAGTTGAGTCATTAATTTTCAGATAATGATTGTAGAAGGAAGATAAACCAAAATATGTGTGTAAAAATAAAAAAAAAAATATTACCTTGTTTTATAAAGTATCCTCCCGACAAGTATTTCAGTGCGGACCTGTATTTGATCGTGAGGTCTTGGAGCACCGGCATGCCGTCCCCTTTGAGGTCTTAAGTCACCTGATTCACGAGCCCGTTGTACTACATTAACAAAGGCACGAGGGGTTGGTTGCACTCGATTGGGAAACCGATCCGCATAAACATGTGCCATTTTTTATTTCGTTTGAGCCACGCAACAGACACCACTATTCACTCACGCGTTACCGACTGACACTGACTGTATACAACTGAATAAAATAATTGTAAAAACATCGTTCCAAATTCTTTCGCTTTTTTGTTTCCGATGCGATGAACCGATAAGGCGGATTATATCCGTTGTTGCCAAACACGAGCACATGATATTATTATTGAGACAGGGCGGTACTCAATCTTCCAAAGGGCTATAACTTTGTTACTTTAATTTTACCAGAAAAATGGTAAAGGAAAAAAACATTTCTTTTGATCAGATCTACTCACTGTTAAAATAAATGACTCAACTTCGAAGTCACCCTGTATACATACATCGAAGTTGAGTCATTTATTTTAACAGTGAGTAGATCTGATCAAAAGAAATGTTTTTTCCTTTACCATTTTTCTGGTAAAATTAAACTAACAAAGTTATAGCCCTTTGGAAGTTTGAGTACCGCCTTGTCTCAATAATAATATTATGTGCTCGTCTTTGGCGACAACGGATATAATCCGCCTTATCGGTTCATCGCATCGGAAACAAAAAAAGCTAAAGAATTTGGAACGATGTTTTTACAATTATTTCATTCAGTTGTATACCGTCAGTGTCAGTCGGTAGTGAATAGTGGTGTCTGTTGCGTGGCTCAAACGAAATAAAAAATGGCACATGTTTATGCGGTTTCCCAATCGAGTGCAACCAACCCCTCGTGCCTTTGCTAATGTAGTACAACGGGTTCGTGAATCAGGTGACTTAAGACCTCACATATGGACGGCATGCCGGTGCTCCAAGACCTCACGATCAAATACAGGTCCGCACTGAAATACTTGTCGGGAGGACACTTTATAAAACAAGGTAATTTTTTTTTTTAATTTTTACACACATATTTTGGTTTATCTTCCTTCTACAATCATTATCTGAAAATTAATGACTCAACTTCAAAGTCACCCTGTATATATATATATATATATATATATATCTGTGCCTTAGAGGTATATAGTTGTAACTCCATATAATGCAATTGAGAGAACAAGCAAATTAAATATTGAGTTAGTAGCAGAATGGCTTTTTGTTCATGTTACTGTTAATATGCGTATACAGGGTTATCCAAATTAAGTGTCCACCATTAGTAACTTTGTTATTAGTGAAAATACAAAGTTGTTTGAATTAGCAAACTAGTAGCATTTTTAACGCTGGTAAAAATGAGAAATAAAAAAAAACAATTGAGAGTCGTTATTTTGATTTTTTTCAGTAAAATAACATTTTTTTAAATGGAAACCCCTGTATATTATATTTTTTTCTGTTAAAGCATCAAATTTTAAACAAAAAAGCTTACAATAACTTTTCTCCTAGGTTACAAATTGTTGAAGTTATGGCCTCCAATCTGAAACAATTAAATTGTATCGACAAACTTTATTTTCAACATCAACTTATAATCTTACAAAATACAATAACAATTTTTTTTAAAGAAGATGCTCGAAAACACCACCTTGTTCTTCAATACATTTTTGGGCACGTTTTTCAACTGCTCGAACTGTCTTAAGTATGGTCCTACCATCTATCTGGGTTATCTTTTCCCTAACTGCAGTCTTTAACGCGTCAAGGTTATCGTACCTTCGCTTGTAAATTTGGTTCTTTAAGTAACCCCACAAGAAGTAATCAAGTGGGTTTAGATCTGGTGATCTGGGAGGCCACTGTATTGGGCCATTTGTTCCTATCCACTGATCATTAAAAGTAGTACTTAGAAAATGATAAGTACCTCTGGAGTTGTGGGCAAGTGCGCCATCTTGCTGAAAATGCAGATGATGTCTACTTATAAGATCCAATTCGTCTAAGAAATTAGTCAGAATTTCTGACATAAATTCCACATATCTTTCACCAGTTAGGGTTCCCTCATAAAAGAACGGGCCAACAATTTTTGAACCAATTATACCGCACCAAACGTTGAAACTGAAACGGACTTGTGGGCCTCTTGGATGTACTAACAAAAGATTTTCTCTTGACCAATAATGGTGGTTTTTTCTATTAAACATTCCAGAATTTGAAAAATTTGATTCATCTGTCCATAAAAGGTAACGAAAGTTATTTACATTTTGGCGACAGAAGCTAAGATACCAATGGCAAAAAACAAGTCTTCTCTCTGGATCCCGTGCCAAAAGCGTTTGAACTGGTCGGTACTTATACGGAATAAATTTGTATTTTTTTAAAATCCTTTGAACAGTACCATAACTGAAATTAGAGTCCTTGAGAATATCTGCTATTGAATTCTCACGATAAGCTTCAAAATATCCAATAACTGCAATTTCCGTGCCCTCGCTTATTATGAATTCTTTTTTTGCCCTTGTTTTAGCAAAAACATTTTCGTTGCCCCCAAATTTTCGATAAAGTCTCAGAAAATATCGTTCATACGGTTGAATGCGAGCGGGATATAATTCACTGTAGTATTCTCTTGCTCTCAAGGAGGATTTTCTGCACACTAAATAGCATTCTAACATATCACACTTTTCTTCATGGGAGAACATTTTTCTTTAAATTAATGACACAATAAAGCTTATAAACAAGTATTTACACTAATGTTTGACATTATTTGATTTTATCATTGTTTTCCAAAGCCTTCTAGTTGCGAGTATGTATAGTTTAACAATTTGTCGCTTATCTTAATGCTGTCAAATCGCGAACGCGATGTTGTTTTCATAGCCGTCTTAATATTATAATACTGCAAATAATTAAAAATATTTATCGTTATTTTGACTTTATTTTTGACTTTAGCGGAAAAGTCATTATGAACTTTATTGTTTAAAATTTGATGCTTTAACAGAAAAAAATATAATATACAGGGGTTTCCATTTAAAAAAATGTTATTTTACTGAAAAAAATCAAAATAACGACTCTCAATTGTTTTTTTTTATTTCTCATTTTTACCAGCGTTAAAAATGCCACTAGTTTGCTAATTCAAACAACTTTGTATTTTCACTAATAACAAAGTTACTAATGGTGGACACTTAATTTGGATAACCCTGTATAGTTTTTTGTGAAAACATATTATATGCTACACAAAACAGTAATGCTTCATGTTAATGATCTTAGAATTTGATATTCAGATTATTTTGTGAGTTACCACTATTTACTATGATAATAAAATCCAGGTGGATCATAGAATGAAACACAGTAAGTACAATTGGTGGAAATAGGCTACATTTTATTATTATAAAAAATGACATCTGGAGAATATATATTCAATCGTCGTCGTCGTCATCATCTCCTTGTTGACCCAGCACAGGAATATTTTTATAAAAGTCATGAAATGCTTCTGGTATCCATTGCAGAAGAATGAGAAGATGATCGTGCTTTTTCTTGCTAAGTCCTTTTGGGTTTTGACGCGGCGAACATAGTTCTAGTGGTAACCCTATCGGCTTTATAGAGGATCTATTCATGTTTACCATTTTGTAGTCCTCTTGGAATATGTCTGTTTTATAGTAGAGTATGCCTGGATCCTGTTTTCGAACCTCAAGCCACACTGATGACACTAAAAAGCTTTCTTTGTCTACTGTCTGTTTCTTTTGAATGAGAGGTGATCCTGTGCCGGAATGTAAGGCCTCGAGGTCATCTAACTGTGGCTCCGGTTGATCTTATAAGTTGCTGCCAGTCCCATGGCGTACATATTTTCATGGTTGGTCGTTTTTTTATAACTCGTTCGATAAGTGCATGGATATGATCAGCTTCCACGTGTGTGTGTCCACGTAGAAGAAACTTTTGAATGATACACTTTAATGAAGGACTTATTATTTGTATTATGTAAAAGTAGTTTACGATCATCATAATGTTCCTGTTTTGGCTCGGACACCTATAATATCAATTATGTTGTACTTACTAGATTCTCAAGAATCGATTTCCTCCTCCAGTGCAAGCTGCACTAATTTTTGAGCCCTTCAGGACATTATTCCTGTTTTTTGATTACATAAGCACCTTGATCAACTTTGAAGAATGATTGAACAACACAGTTTGTAAAGCAAGCGGTGCGCGACGATGATTCATATGATAGTATTCTGCGTATGTATGGAGAAGCGACTGTTTACCTCTAACAAAAAATCACTAGCTGCTTGTTCATTTCATATATTTCATGATTATCGTGATTAGGCGCTACGATCATTTACTCCACGTAAAGATTAACCAGGGATACTAATGATACGCAGGTAATCACAAAAACTGCAAAAATGGAGTTACGATCGTTTACCTCTAAGGCACATATATATATATATATATTCACGCAAGAATCATGAAAGAGAAGATAAAAAGGTTCCGCGGAACTATACCGCGTAGCGGACATCCACTGTGCGAGAAGATGGCCCAGCCACCGGGCTCATTGTCAGCGGCTGTAGGAGGTGACTACGTAGAATCTTTGGTTACGGCGGGTTGAGTGCACTGAGATTGATTTGATAGACTTAAATCTGTTAATCAAGTGTCGGGACTGCTTCCTTATGCTATTATAAAATAAGTTGTTGTTTTGTAGTAACTAACAGAGATTGTCATTCCACCCTAGTCCGCCACAGTTGATAAGAACTCACAATTTCAACCCTGGGAGGGTTACAAACCTCAGCCAAATTTGAACCTCCCGTATACATACCCATTTCTTGGTTAATAAAAGAAACGGCATAGTCAAATTAGTCAACCGTAATCAAAATATATCCATATAATTATTGTACTTTTGTTCTTACTTCAATGAAGCATAACTTTAGAGTATCAATTCCATCCTCTCACAAGCAAAATTCATATAATTAAGACTATTTCATAAACTCTCATATATCGCGAGCACAAACAGCTTAAATCGTAAGCGAATATTGTACAAAGCTATATAGCAACAATTTCCCAGGGCAAGTTCCCTATTGAATATCACGAACCTGTACTCTGTTGTTACTCCTGTCAGCGATGTAGAAGTTGCCGATGCTGTCACAGCACGCCCCCCAAGGCCTGCAGAGCTTACCGTCCCCATCTCCTTCTCTGCCAAATGTCAAAGAGGGCATTGGACCGTTGTCTTTGACTGTGACCAAGCCTTTGACGTTGTAGATGGGACGGTTCCGCAACGATAGCGGGAATTGCTCAGGAGGTGGCATTTGGTCTAGGGTTTCTTTTATTTCGAGCTAGAAGAAATAATAACAATTTCATTGACCAGTATGCTAAACAGAGAAAATTTTGTTATAAACGCAAACAATACAGTTAACCATCTGTTATACATGGATGACCTGAAATTATTTGCCAAAAATGAGAACGATTTGCGTCGCGCTTTAATGACAGTTAACAAATTCTCGGATGATATAATTATGCAATTTGAATTGGATCAGTGTGCAACAGCAATATTCAGAAGGGGTAAACTGACTAAGGCACAGAATATGAATCTAGATAAAGCAATAACAATAATGAACATAGGGTCTGAAGAAACTTAGAAACATCTAGGCACTGAAGAAGCAGATGGAATCGAAGATGAACATGCAAAATCCAGAATATCGTCGTGTGCACCTGATTCTCAAGATAGAATCATGCTCCAAAAATAAAATATCCGCCATCAACTCTTTCGCTGTGCCTGTATTAAGGCCCGTATCGTCAGTCGTCCCTACAATTGTAGGGCGCATTTATGGCCTCCTTGATTGTCATAGTTTTCTACTTCTCCGTGTCAGAACTCTATTTTGAGGTTATGTCACAAACATCTATTTGCATCAAATTGTGCTTGCTTTTGAGTTATATCATGTTTTATGAGCCTGAAATTTCCTACAATTTAAAAAGAAGACATATCTTCACATTAGGAGAGCGCTGACGCTGATACGGGACAAGTGTAAACTAGAAATTTTTGAAGGAGAGAAAGAAGTATGACAATCAAGGTGGCTATAAACGCGCCCTACAATTGTAGGGACGACTGACGATACGGGTCTAAGTTACAGCTTTGGAACTGTCAATTGGCTGAAGTCAGATATTCTGAGAATTGACCGGAAAACCAGGAAGCTGCTGACAATGGCACATAGACACCATCCCAAAGCTGACGTGGACAAGTTATATGTAAAGAGGCGAAATAAAGGACGTGGAATGATAGAAATTGAAGCTATAAATGAAACATCCATGGCTGGTCCCGGGGAATACATACCCCAAGGGAAGGACAAACTGTCAAAGTTAGTGAAGCAATGGGATAATGGCCTCTGTAAATACTCCATCCAGAAAGAGGTGAAGAAGAATATATCGGATCGTCTAGAAGGCAGCAGCAGGAATTCTACAAGATCAAGAACGTCGTTGAAAGTGTCAGACTAGCAACAGTATCCTCAAAACCATTAAACGGACAGTTCTTCCGACAACTCGAGAGAATAGAGGTAGATAAACGTGAAAGTATCAGTTGGCTGAGAAGCTTTACACTGAAAGTGCTGATAGTGTCTGCGCAAGATCAAGCGTTAAGCACAAGGCACCACCAAAAGAATATCCTAAAGCAAAGTATAGACAGTAAGCACCCTCAGAGTATACCGATATACATAACAAAGTAGCTAGTTACGTTCACTGGAAAATATGTGACTCGTTTGGTATTCCAGTTACAAATAAGTATTACCAGAGTGTCATCAAAATCAAGAAGAACACATGTGATTGATACAGCGGTTCCCGACGATTCCAGTGTAAAATCGGAAGAAAATGAAAAGATATCTAAGTACCGAGATCTCCAGATAGAAATACAGAGGATGTGGCATGTGAAAGCTTGGATAACTCCTGTCGTTATCGGTGCATTAGGAACTATCACAAAAACCTTCCATGAAAATTGTGACTCAATACCCGGTAAACCGGCACTATATCAAATTCAACAAACGGCACTACTGGGAACAGCGCATATACTAAGGAAGGTGCTTGGATAGTCGATTTGATACCTGGTTGGTATCCTTTATTACCAGACAGAAGCGACTGTGGAAGAAAAAACATAAATAGTAATGCATAGAAGTTTGTATCCAAGTTTCACGTACATTCCTTCCTAGACATCAGTGAGGACGTGGACTACTGAGTCTGGAGTCTGCATGACAGGGTGGCACTGAGCACTGCCTGTCAGAGAGCACCGATCCCCTCATCCGCATTGTGAGTGAATACGAGAATGCGGGTAAAAGAGCTTTTCTTTTTATAGCAGCGAAAAGAGCAGCTGAGAAGCTCAGTCTCATACTTGACTTTAAGCGAGAATGCCAGCAGTCCATTACAGAGTTGGTTCCTGCTCAAATGAAAAGCCACAAAAACTGCTGGAGCAGAATACCTCTTCTACAGACACAGAAGGGCATGTCTTATCTAAGCAGTTGACCTTTTCATTTTTAAGATCTGGTGGGTGAAGGTATGAGAATGAGGAATTCATTATGGCTTGCCAAGATGGTGTCTTTAATACGTTGATATCCCGTAGTAGGGTTATGGATGTGGATGTTTCCGTTGCCAACTGCAGAGCATGTCGGCAGAAGCCAAAGACGATTCACTGATAAACACAGGATTTGTGACATGACAATTTTTGAGTGTATCTTATGTATTTTGAGACCCTTAAATCAAATCTAAAAACAGAATTTTTCTATCACCCACAGATATTAGGTAACATCTACTTGTATCAATTACAATACGTAACATCTCATGTTGCTGCATTTCTCGGCGTTTATGCGATGACGCAAACATATAATGTTAAGACCTGTCTATTCCGGTTTATTATATGCCAGCTCTATGTTTAGACTAATATCAGCCGGGTCAGTTACGTTTTCTGTGTTGAACAGTACTGGGATGTTCTGAGTACTGTTAATTTTTGTTAAAATGGTGTGTTGGTTTTAGTTTGTTGTGATCGAGACTAGGTTTATGGACAGTGCCTAGAAATTGTGTAAATAGTGCGAACATTTTTTGTTATGTGTGCGAAGAGCTAACTTTTAAATCCCAAAAACGTACTTTTACTCCACTTGTGTTGAAAGCATTGAACTTTATTTTGGAATTAAAGTTGGCGACCAAGGTAAACTGTGAGCCCCTCATATATGTTGTATGACTTGTGTAACGTTGTTAACAGGTTGGTTAAGAGACGACAATCGTAAAATGCCCTTTGCATAGATACCAATGGTTTGGAGAGAACCGAGAGACCATACTACTGATTGCTATTTTGCCTCACAAATATTAAAGGTATTGGACCAAAATCGAAACATACCGTTAAGTATTTTAATTTACCATCAGCTTTGCGGCCCGTTAAGTATAGTGATGGACTTTCTGTCCCAGTTCCACCAGAATCTTGGTCTATGGATGGAAAAGTCGAATCCACCCATTCTGAAAGTGATGGTATAGAAAGCGTAAAAATTTCCGATCCTTCGTTTTACAGAGGGCGAACTTAATGACTTAGTTCGATAATTAAATCTGTCAACATCTTAGTCAGAACTTTTAGCGTCAAGATTAAACGGATGAAATCTTCCCCACGGTGATGTTAACATTACTTCTTACCCAAAGCGGCAACAAGACCTCACACACTGGTTCCGTCAAGAAAGGGAGTTGATATATTGCTCCGATATCAACAATTTGTTTGCCGCGTTAGGACAGAAGCATGATCCAACTGATTTACGCCTGTTTATTGATTAATCTAAGCTTAGTTTAAAAACGGTCTTGGTACACAACGGTAATAAATATCCATCTGTATCTATAGCGCGCGCAGTTCATATGAAGGAATTATATGAAAATATGCGAGTTCTGTTAGAGCATATCCGTTATAATGAATATGGATGGGCCATATGTGCAGATTTAAAGGTAATAGCCCTCTTTCTTGGAATGCAACTGAATACCACTACGTCAGGGGGCCTCAAAAACATTGCTCATGAACCACTAGTTGATCCCAAAAACGTGTTGCTTCCACCTTTGCATATTAAGTTGGGACTGATGAAAAATTTTGTGAAAGCTATGGATCGAAATGGAAGTGGGTTTTTCTGCATTTGAAACAAACATTCCTGAGACTTAGGCCCGTATCGTCAGTCGTCTCTAGAATTGTAGGGCGCGTTTATGGCCTCCTTGATTGTCATACTTCTTTCTCTCCTTCAAAAATTTCTAGATTACACTTGTCCCGTGTCAGCGTCAGAGCTCTCCTATTATGAAGATATGTTTTCTTTTTAAATTGTAGGAAATTTGAGGCTGATAAAACATGATATAACTCAAAAGCAAGCACAACTTGATGCAAATAGATGTTTGTGACATAACCTCAAAATAGAGCGGTGACACGGAGAAGTAGAAAACTATGTCAATCAAGGAGGCCATAAAGGCGCCCTACAATTGTAGGGACGACTGACGATACGGGCCTTAGTGAGGCAAAAATTAAAGACGGCATATTTGTGTGTCCACAAATCATGAAGGATGATGTATTTGACAGTGCTCTAAATGAAACTGAATACGAGCTTGGAATACTTTTAAATCAGTTACTGCAAATTTTTTAGACAATGTGAAGGCGGACAATTAAAGATATTGTGGGTGAACTAATTAATGCTTATAAAGGAATGGGGTGTATCATGTCTCTAAAAATTCACTTTATGGATTTTCATCTCGATTTTTTTCCGGAAACGGAGAACGGTTCCACCAAGGCATTTCTGCTATGGAAAACGGTATGAAGGCAAATGGAGTGTTAACTTGCTTGCTGATTATTGCTGGACATTGTTAAGAGATTCTTCAGGAGCAACATATCGCCGTAAAACAACGACAACAACATTCTGAGATTCATTATTATTAGTACTCGTACACACATATCTTTATATTTTACGAGTATAAGCAGCAAATAAAATGCATTATTGCAAGAAAACCGTAGGTGATAGGAAAAATCGAATGCGATTTCCGGCTATTTGGGTACGTTTTACATAATAACCACCTTGTTTTGTCCATGTCACAAAAAATTATTGTAATTTTGTTCACCAGTGTTATGTATTTCTTGTGCTGTACTACCATTTGAGGCACTACTATGGTATACATAAAATGCCTGTTCTGCCCTATACTCCAGGCGATATTGAGAACGCTGTGAAGAATGAGATATGCCGGATTCACTGGAATTACTCGTTCCCTATGATCGAGCTGGTACAGGCGAATGAGCCCGATTTACTCCTCATCCACGAACATAAGGCCATGTTCCTTATTAAATTAGAAAAACGGACCAAGTATCAGGCTCCTGCATCAGATTCGCAGGCTTTGGCCAGACTACCCTGCTAGTTTAATGCTTATAGTCAATGGTTTATTGGGTGGGATGAGAAACACATTGCTCTCTGCAACAAATTCCATACCGGCAAGACGATCACCGGCAAGCCGGCCGAATCTTTCTACGCGGTTTTTGTTACTTATCTGAATAAGCAACTTTGCTCCCATTTAAGCGACGTCATGACTCTCATCGTTTCTGAGATCCCAATTTTGAGGGTCGAGTTTGAAACACCCTGTATACAGAAGTTTTTTGAGACAGACAATTTTAAACAATGAGAGTGAATGTAGAGTATATATTTGAAAAAATAGGTATTTTCATTTCTCCTTTAAAAATAAAACATGTTAAAATATTCTCGAGGATTAATTTGAATATTTATGTATGTGTTCTCATACATTTCGTCGCCTTTCTCACGAAGTGTTCTAACTGACAAAATACCAAAAATTGAGATAACCCGCATATAGGTGTATTATTCAATGCTGGTTAATCTGACGAAGAAGCATAATAATTATATATCTATTAGTGTGGGCAACACACCGTTAGCCCCTGGGTGTCTTATCTGCAAAGGTAAATTTATGATTCCCACGAAGAGACCTAAATGAAGATAAGTCCCTTAGTGTCCAATAATCCTTGTTAGTATACGCTCCTCGGTGGTGGAATCATGGCCAAAGTGAGGGAGAATCTGCTCACAGTGCAATTCATACTGCGATAACGGGGGTTGGAGATCTTTTTGAACCCTCATAACTCTATCCGGTTTTTTGATTCGCCAGAAAACGTCAATCTTATTTAGTCATTCCCAATGTATTTTTTGACTTCATGAAACTTTCAAAAGATTTAAGAATATTGTCCACACGGCAAGCTGAGGAGGGGCAAAATATTAAACGGAGTTTATTGTAATAAAAGACACGCCCACCAAAATATTTTTTAAGTCTAGCGACCACGATACTAGTTATGACAGTATTGAGTTAAAAAGGCTGATGAGAAATAGTAATAATATAAATGATATTAAACTAGAACAACTTAAAAATAACAAAAAGAAGTACTCCGACTTACTTTCGTTATGTAAAATCCGAAAAACGCCAGTTAGTTGTACGCTTACCCGAATTCCAAAACTTTTACAACATTTGGCCCATGAAACGGAATGAATTATTGATAATTTTGCCTTTTTTTGTGTATCACAACACATCAACATTTGCTGGTAATATGTCAAAATATAATATTTAAGTCAGTTGCTTTTCTTTTAGTTTTTATTTCAATAAAAATTGGTTTGACGTTTCGAGTTGTTTTCTTCATCTAATCCCGTAATATTTTTGTCATAATCTACATCAATTTTAGGCATGGACATTGAGGAAAATATTTTAGGGGGTAGCCAAACTTCAAAAATCGATCTGAACTTTTTTACATAAACTTTGCTGTCAGCAGACCAACGATTACTTACAAAATTTAACAATCAACAAATTTTCGGAGATAATCGCCCCCTTGGCTGGAAATATGATTCTTTGCTTATAAGTAAATGAAACAAATTTTGTATATCTTAAAAAATTATAATAACAAGAACTTCAATGAAAATATATTTTAGCTCTGTCTGACAAAAAGCTTCTGAAAATTCTCACGAAGTGACTTACGTGCGTTTTCCATTTTTTTCCAAAATAGCTTGATAAGCTACCGCAAATATTGAAACGGTATATGATTCACAATGAATATAGGCTAATACACGTGAATTTTCAATTCGGAAATATCTAAACTTTACATACAATGCTCAATCAACAATACGCTGATTTCGTTTTCTTGCTCTCCTGTAAAATTCACTAACCGTTGGTTAGGACACTTCGTGAGAAAGCCGACGATTTGTTACTCTCTCGCTAGACTCAGTTACCCTTGAACTGTCCCGCTTATGATAAACCTCTATCTGGCAACCACATAAATACTGATCGTGTGGCATTCACCTCAGACCAGGTTGTGAATCTGAATTAAACATCAAGGATCAGGAATGGTATGAAGAATCTGCATATCCAATCTAGGCTCTCCCGTCCCATAAGTACATTAAATGTATAATGTATACAAATTTTGTATTCGAGCAGGTGCGCATAAATACTCGCGTGTAGACTGTAACTCTGTGAAGGGTTATTACTATACGTATACATGGTTCTTCCGTTGGGGAGCTAAGAGGCCACAGACAGACACAGATACTAATACAGATACATGTTAAACATCTAACACCCCTCTTTCTTGCGTTTTTTAATAATCTACTAGACGAAAATCCACGTTACTTACCTCCATCTGTCTACCTGCGTGTCTGGCGTCGTTTTTATACCCTGGAAAGCTTGGAATCAGCTGCATCGGTTGTGACACCATCATTTGGGAGGCAGAAAACTGTGGGGTCATAGTAGATAATTTTTGAAAATCGACGTAGTGACTGCGGCGGGGTTATAAGCCAACAAAAAAAACAAAATACTTCCAGCTAGTTCCCAAAAATCGTGTTTTTGATGATTTTGCGCGTAATCAAAAAATAAGTTTATGATCATCGTTAAATTTTTATAGGTATAACTAAATTTGAAATATTCAAAGCACACATTTCGAGTAACATATCCAATATACGATACAGACATCTTATTATCGAGGATTCTCAGTTGGGCATCTACAAATCGAACCCTTCTGTTTTTACCCATATTCTCTTTCTTTAGGTTGCTTACCCCCACGTTCACCCTTCATGACTTTTAAACAACTGAATTGATTTTTGTCAAACATAGCTACGAACCATCTCTGTGGACCAGACATCATCATCATCAATTTGGCTTGTATTTTACATGTCTATTTTTCGATATTTTGTCATTAATTGCAAAAATCCGTAGGTCATCTCTCATGTCAACATTGCGGATATGATCTTCCGGTCCGGGAATCACGTATATTGAAAAGTGACATTATGCCGATTTTTTTTGACATTATGTAGGTTTTTCTACAAGATAATATCTTAGCACTTAGTTATATGTGTTGCCTAAACGTCATGAGGCTTGTTATCAATCTTTGGCTCTGATGTGATGTAAAATCTGCTTCTGAGATGGCATTACTGGAGGTATAAGCTGTAAGTTGTATGTGTTGATGATAATTATATTGGGTTCTTGTCTGAAATACACTTAAATGAGATTCAAAGTTAGAAATTAGTTGCCCATCCACTTTTTCTTATCCAATCTGGAAATTACATATACAAATTTGCTGAATTTCAAAAATGAGAGAGATAAGAAATAATTATATTCACTGTACACTGTCGAATTACAAGCCATATATACTAAGTGACATATAAATCCGAACACCCAGTTTAAATGGTTTTATTTTAATAAAATTTTGTATAAGTACTTAATGAAGCATAATAAGTAAATGAAAAAAAATTCAAAATGATTGCACTGCTTTAGAGCCCTTTGACCTTTAATAATGTGTGGATGCACCCTGATGTGCTATGCATTCTTCAACGCGCCTAGGCATGCTTCTGATCAGGTGGTCAATGTCCTCCTGTGGTATCTCATTCCAGGCAACCACCAACTCCTCTCGAAATGCTTCTAGAGTCTGAGGAGGACGTTACAAATTGGGCAATCTCCTACCCATCATATCCCACACGTGCTCAATTGGGGATAAGTCGGGAGATCTTGGTGGCCATGGTAACAATGTGACATCATTATGTTGAAAGAAGTCTATTGTGACTCTTGCAACATGTGGTCGGGCATTATCTTGTTGGAAAGTTGGATCTGCCAGGGTGTCAAGATAGGGTAAAAGATGGGCTTCTAGAACTTCGTGGATATAACGCTGCGCGTTCATGTTACCTCTGATGAAAATTAAAGGTGACCTGGAACCATAAGCTATAGCACCCCAAACCATAACTCCAACAGTGTGATGAACATGTCTTTCAACAAAAAACTGTGGATTCCTCCTTTCACCACGTCGCCTTCTAACCCTGGCACGACCATCGTGCATGCCTAAACAAAATCGAGACTCGTCACTAAAGACAATACTGTTCCATTCCTGATCCCAGAGTGACCGTTGTCTGCACCACTCAAGGCGATTACGTCGGTGTTCTCGAGTTAAAGGGAGGACCCAGTGTGGCCGGTATGAAAACAAGCCAAAACTTCTCATTCGTCGGTAAACACTTCGAATGCCAACAGGTCTTCCGTGTTCTGCAAACCATTCATTTGCAATGGACCTGGTAGTGGAGAAACGGTTCCTTAAGGCCAATAATCTTAGGCGGCGATCTTCACGGTCTGTTGTTCTACGGCGGCGTCCAGTGCCCCTTGCTCTTTGCGTACGGCCTTCTCGAAGCCATGCCTGACAACACCTAACCACAGTGTCTACATTTCTTTGCACTCTAACTGCAATTGCCCGAAAAGAAAGTCCAGCTTCCCGAAGTCCCACTATACGGCCCCTATCAAACTCACTAAGTTGACGAAACCGTACAGGTCTCCGTACTCTAGGCATTGTAACCGATCGTAAAGGATGTCAAGAACCAAAATCCGCCAACGTTGATTCTTTACAGCGGCTGAAATATTCATTTTTAGAGCGTTAGTGAATTAAAAAAAAGCAGTATAAAAACCGGAATGTCCAACTGATAAGGCTGAAAATTTTTTCACTTGTTATTTACAGTAAGATAAATAGATTCACCAACTTCTATTAAAATAAAACCATTTAAACTGGGTGTTCAGATTTATATGTCACTTAGTATACATGCTAACAGTAATTGCACAAAACGCGGGCGCGGTGATGATTTCCCGTAATTCTCCTAAGTTTTTCGTAACTTATGACTTTGAAGATAACCTCCCTTCAGAAAGCACAACTTATAAATAACTCGTCATATTCAGCATATTCAGTAATGATTTTCTCACACAGCAAATATCACTAATTTTACACACATGCAGACCAATACACATAATCATCCGGATGTGATCTTGCTATTCAACCAACTTTCTTCTCAGAGATAAAAGCTACAGACACGGGTCACGCCGCCTCACAAACCTATGCAAGCAATAATGCGTGTAGCTTAGTTGAGTGATTCCTCCATAGATGGACGTTCACATCGATCCTAGTGAGCAAACGTGGAATGACTGCTTGCGCCCTAAAAACTACCTAGTCTTATAGGTTTTTTTTACGTTTTGTAGGTTTTTTATGTGATACCCGTGCCGATCTTTATCGACTTAATTTTAGCTGGGTATCTTGTCTGCACTGGTTTAGATTTATTCTGATTGTGCCGCACATTCTGGTGTAGGCCGTCAGTTTTTGGTCAATGTCGTTGTCATATCCGTATGTTACATCACAACCGAGATATTTGAATACACATATCTGTTCTACAGTTGTGTTTTTATACAGATTTCTGCTCTCACTAGTTCGTTAGCTATGAAAGCCATGGCTTTTATTTTGGACGTCGATATATGTCAGTTATACTCCATAGTGATATTATTCAGTAGATTTTTTCGCAGTTTTTCTTCAGAAGAAGCAATGATTAACTGATCATCTGCAAACAGTCATGCTGCTAGTGATTTTTCAGGATGAATTTGGATCATTGTAGGTGCGGTTTCTTTCCATCGGCTAATTATATCGTCAATATAAATGTTGAATAAAAACGGAGACAGCAACTTTGTCGGAGTCAGAGTCAACTTCGTTCTATTCATTGCTTTCACAATGACAACTGACAGTACACATGTTGCCTGAATACAGGGTTATCCAAATTAAGTGTCCACTATTAGTAACTTTGTTATTAGTGAAAATACAAAGTTGTTTGAATTAGCAAACTAGTAGCATTTTTAACGCTGGTAAAAATGAGAAATAAAAAAAACAATTGAGAGTCGTTATTTTGATTTTTTTCAGTAAAATAACATTTTTTTAAATGGAAACCCCTGTATATTATATTTTTTTCTGTTAAAGCATCAAATTTTAAACAAAAAAGCTTACAATAACTTTTCTCCTAGGTTACAAATTGTTATGGCCTCCAATCTGAAACAATTAAATTGTATCGACAAACTTTATTTTCAACATCAACTTATAATCTTACAAAATACAATAACAATTTTTTTTAAAGAAGATGCTCGAAAACACCACCTTGTTCTTCAATACATTTTTGGGCACGTTTTTCAACTGCTCGAACTGTCTTAAGTATGGTCCTACCATCTATCTGGGTTATCTTTTCCCTAACTGCAGTCTTTAACGCGTCAAGGTTATCGTACCTTCGCTTGTAAATTTGGTTCTTTAAGTAACCCCACAAGAAGTAATCAAGTGGGTTTAGATCTGGTGATCTGGGAGGCCACTGTATTGGGCCATTTGTTCCTATCCACTGATCATTAAAAGTAGTACTTAGAAAATGATAAGTACCTCTGGAGTTGTGGGCAGGTGCGCCATCTTGCTGAAAATGCAGATGATGTCTACTTATAAGATCCAATTCGTCTAAGAAATTAGTCAGAATTTCTGACATAAATTCCACATATCTTTCACCAGTTAGGGTTCCCTCATAAAAGAACGGGCCAACAATTTTTGAACCAATTATACCGCACCAAACGTTGAAACTGAAACGGACTTGTGGGCCTCTTGGATGTACTAACAAAAGATTTTCTCTTGACCAATAATGGTGGGTTTTTTCTATTAAACATTCCAGAATTTGAAAAATTTGATTCATCTGTCCATAAAAGGTAACGAAAGTTATTTACATTTTGGCGACAGAAGCTAAGATACCAATGGCAAAAAACAAGTCTTCTCTCTGGATCCCCTGCCAAAAGCGTTTGAACTGGTCGGTACTTATACGGAATAAATTTGTATTTTTTTAAAATCCTTTGAACAGTACCATAACTGAAATTAGAGTCCTTGAGAATATCTGCTATTGAATTCTCACGATAAGCTTCAAAATATCCAATAACTGCAATCTCCGTGGCCTCGCTTATTATGAATTCTTTTTTTGCCTTGTTTTAGCAAAAACATTTTCGTTGCCTCTAAATTTTCGATTTGATTTTATCATTGCTTTCCAAAGCCTTCTAGTTGCGAGTATGTCGAGTTTAACAATTTGTCGCTTATCTTAATGCTGTCAAATCGCGAACGCCATGTTGTTTTCATAGCCGTCTTAATATTATAATACTGCAAATAATTAAAAATATTTATCGTTATTTTGACTTTATTTTTGACTTTAGCGGAAAAGTCATTATGAACTTTTTTGTTTAAAATTTGATGCTTTAACAGAAAAAAATATAATATACAGGGGTTTCCATTTAAAAAGATGTTATTTTACTGAAAAAATCAAAATAACGACTCTCAATTGTTTTTTTTATTTCTCATTTTTACCAGCGTTAAAAATGCTACTAGTTTGCTAATTCAAACAACTTTGTATTTTCACTAATAACAAAGTTACTAATGGTGGACACTTAATTTGGATAACCCTGTATTCAGGCAACATGTGTACTGTCAGTTGTCATTGTGAAAGCAATGAATAGAACGAAGTTGACTCTGACTAAAAACGGACGCGTATTTTCATCATTTTCATCATGCACTCAACTACTTTTTCCAACATATTCATTTTTGGTCCGATAGATGGCGCTTCGCGCTATATCATGCTGCTATTCATTTTTGTTTACAGATAAAGACACTTAAAAACAAAGAAAACGTTTATTTGAAAAGTAAATAAAGATAATAAGAATTAAACACGACAACCATAAATATTACATTTGATACAACTTAAGTGGTTGTTTCTAAATTTATGAGGACATGACATTGGAAACAAAAAATAATGCTGAATAAATGCTATAACATCCAACTTAAATGAGGTGTTGAAAGACGCTCTCCGAATTTAACACAAGGCCGTGCTCTACATCACAAAGACTTTCTGACTCTCTGGAAAATTCCTGGCGTAGTAAGAACAGTGTTGAAGGCCTTCTATATACGAGCCCCTTCCCACTTCAGTTAGGCCAACTATTGAAATCATAGTTTTTTTCTTATCAAACATAAATAATAAAAATGTGGCAGGGTGTTATAGTTTTAAAATATCAACAATGAATATTTTGATAATATATAGTAGAAAACACCAACTTTATCACTCCCTAATCAAATTTGCAGCAAAAAAATAATACATGTTTCAATTACAGCATATCATCTTATTTTCATTTCAATGCAAAATAAGTCTATAACGCATAGGTGGCTGTGAAAAATAAAAGCCGTGACAATTGTTTTTATTAATCACAGCTGTTAGAATACGTTTAAAATAGTTTTGGGTAGTTAAGGTTTTCAAAATCGGTAGAGGAAAGGTTATTAGTGGTTACTGATAATTAAATTTTTTAATTCTGCGAAATCAAACTCAGAAATTGCAACTTTGTTAGACTTATCGTGGTACAGTGTGAGAAATATTGTTGGAAGATATAACGTAACTGGTTCAGTTAATATTAAGCCACGATATGTGAAAAAAAGTAATATCACAAATGCCGACCGAAGAGCATTGAGAAGAATAATCGTGAAAAACAGGCGTGCCAATTGTTTACAATTAAGTGCTCTGTAGAGTGACGCCGTTGGAAGGAGAATTTCGAGGTCCACAACTCATAGAGAGGCCACAAACTGGGATTTAACACTTGCAAGGTAAGTTTTCTTATAAAAAAAGTGAATTAAAAACCCTAAAGTTGCACAACTTGTTTATAGGCCAAAGAAAAGCCACTATTAACTCCACTGCAAAAGAAAAATCGGCTTAGATGGGCTAAAGAACATAGACAATGGACACCTCAACAATGGTGTGCAATACAATGGAGTGATGAGGCCCGATTCGAAGTTTGTGTTGGTGACAGTCGCAGTAGAGTTATTCGCAAAAAAATGAAGCATTCGATGTTGACTGTCTGAAGAGAAAAGTGAAATTTCCAGCATTCACTATGGTCTGGGGCAGTGTGTCATCAAAAGGAGTAGGAAAACTTCATTTTATTGATGGAAATGTGGATACAAACAAATATTTGGCAATTTTAGAAGAATCGCTTTTACCAGTGATGGAAGAATGTTTGACATCCGGCCAAGACTTTGTGTTTCAGCAAGATGGTACAGCGTGCCATATTTCAAAAAAGGCTATAAAATGGATGGAAGAAAATAATGTACCACTTTTGAAATCGGTTTCTAGTAGTCCAGACCTGTCACCTATTGAAACTTTGTGGCACGAGACAAAAGCTTCAAGAAAGATGGGATTGTTTTACACCAAATTTTTGCAAAAACTTGGTTAACACTATGCCCCAAAGAATTTCAGCCGTAATAAAAGATAAAGGTGATGTTACCCAATGGTAATCTTTCCATTGTTGCTTTGTTAACTTCGCGCATTTATTCGCACATTGTTTATTTGTTCAGATGTTTTATTAGTTATAGGTCTAAGTGATTTCAAATATGTATTTTTTACGACTAGAGTGTATCAAAAATGTTGTTGAGAAAATAAATTGTTTTAGAAGTAAATAGTTTCGTCATGTTTAGTTTATAAAGGCATATTTTGATACAAATCTTGAAGTGGGCCAATTCAAGTGGGAAGGGGCACGTACGTCGTCCTCATACTTTGTGTCCGCGGTTGCTGAAGATTTGTGATATCTTTTTTGTTGAGCTCACTTGATCCGAAATATTGAAAAAATTTGAGAAAAAAGTCCGATAAAAGTAAAATTATAAGGGTTTTACTCAAATTCATTGGTTCCACAATTACTAATTTTAAACGGTGTTCTAAGGATAGGGGCTGATAAACTTTTCCATAAGAATATTTTAGAATTTTAATTCAAATATTCAAACCTAGATATCTCCAAAACAAGTCATCTTACAAATATTCCTTAAGATAAATTTTATAGAAAATTGAATGGTATTTTAAAAAATGCGCTTCTTTTCTCCGAAAAGGACAGTGGTGCAAAAAATATTTCCTTTTAGTGGTCTAGGTACCCCAGTTTCTATGTCTTTGGCTTAGTTTGGACCGGAAAACTCTGTGTGTTTATTGCTCTCTCGGTATCTTTACCCCCTCTGGAGGTTCCACGGTTCCAGCCAGTTCCTAAAAATCATTGTTCGTTGTTCATATTTTTGATAACCGTTACATTTTTGGTGTCACAAAATTTGAAATATGCAAGGCACACGTTTTTTAGTAACATACAGGTATATAAATGATACCGAAACAACATTAAATATTCGATACAGAAATTTTCTCATCGAGGATTCGCAGTTTGTGCGGAAATTTAGGGGTACGTTGAAAAATAAACGCCTGAGAACGTGATGTAGTAAAGTCAATCTACTTGACATCATTTTTGAATTGTATTACTTATCAAAAACTCGGATGTTTCAGTTTCGGTAACGGATACTTTGATGGTGATGGTACATTTTTATTCGAACTTCGTCAGGATGTTATGCTATTTTATGCTTCAGGCTGAAAGTGCCTTGGGTAACTTGTCGAGTGCCAACCGACTTGTTTTGGAAGTTTGGTAAAAAGCCTATGGGCATTTCTAAGTCCCGAATGGTGAAACGGTAATACCCTGAGTATCCTACAAGCTGATACATTGTTGAAATAACAAACATAAACAGAAGTTCTGAAAGTTTCAAATACTTTAATGTTTACTTACGAAATTCGCGAAGAGTTGCTCTTTCAATGCCTGAGCTCTGGCTAATCTGGAAGCCACCATCGCTGAACTTGAAGTTATATTGCCAAGGGATGATATTGCACTCATAAAGTTAGCGTCTGGCGGTAGGAACATTATACCGTCTTCTTCGCAAGGCCCTAGTTCTAGACGCATCGTCTGGACCTGAAAGAGGTTATTTCACCTTTGAATAAAAAATAGGTTATTCATTAGTATACTTTAGCTCGTAATGTTTTTCTCCTGATCGATGGCGCAGAGAGATCTTCCTACTTCCCACGTTTACTGGCGAGGAAGCATTGTAATCACGACAAATTTGGAAAATGAGATATTTTATTTGAATGTTAAATGACGAAAAACCATGTCACTCATTTCCGTCCATCTGCTGGTCTGTCTGTCTTACTGTTTGTCGATCTGCCTGTCTGTCGGTCTGCAAATTTTGAAATTTGGGATACGAATTGGATTTGTAAAATTATTGGAAGAAAATTTAAAAATAATTGGAAATACTGAAAAAATGGAATTTTGAAATTTGAAAAAAAATGAAGTAAATTTTGTTTGTCATATACGAGTATAAGATACACCAAAAATCGAACCTCTTGATTATAAGTAGCTTTGTTGTCGTTGTGAGACCAACAATTTAGAACTGTCTAAAGCTAATCGTTTTCGAGATATTTGTTTTCAAATGTTCCAATGCATTATTTGTACCATGATGATAAAACATTTTTATAACACAATAATCAAGTTGCTTTGGATAATATCTAAGTAGCGTTGGTATGGTTCTTAACAATAACAAATGAAGATTGCAACAAAAGTAATAAACGGAAATAATAACTACAAAAATTGTTCAAAATGAGCACCACCTTGCTCGAGAGCTCGATGAACTAATCCTTGCTGCACTCTCCAAAGCATATGGATGTTATTTTTCATTTCCTGGCTATGGTGGAAAATTCTTTGTAGAAGATCATCTTCAGTTTCCACTGACGTATTGTAAACGCGTCTTTTAAATCACCCCAGAAGAGGAAATCCATAGGATTTAAATTTGGTGATCTAGCCGGCCACGATACAGGTCCTGATCGGCCTATCCACTGGTCTGCGGTTTTGCATATGGAAATAAAACAACGCGCTAGGTAGTTTTAAATGACTTCATTGTTTTTCGAAGTATTCTCAACGAAGATTAATACACATCTGCATGGGCTCGAACCAATTTTCGAAGCACTTATTCCACTCGTTTGCTGGCAGATCCAAAACGGCATTTTTGAATGCGTCAACTGCTTCTTCTGGTGACTGGAACCTTTGACCACCCAGTCTGTTTTTAATTTTCAGGAAAGTAAAGAAATCGTTAGGACTTAGATCGGGACTATATGGAGGATGGTCCAATAATTCCACATTTTCTTCCGTTAAATACTGCCTTGTTTTTTGGGCTGTGTGCGAGCTTGCATTGTCTTGGTGGAGGATGATTCTTCTTTCGGGGTTGATTTTTCGAAACTCGGTGATGACTTTTGGCAAACAAATGGTGGTTTACCAATCCGCAGTAACAGTTCTTTGCTCATTACGAGGAATTGTTGCAATATGACACAAATGTCGCGACCATCTTTTTCGAAACACTTCGAGAACGGACGACTGTTGTTGGCTTTTCTTCACCTTGGAACACCCAAACAGCCGACTGTCGTTTATTTTCTGGTTCATAACAGTAAATCCTCGATTCATCACCACTCACAATGCTGTACACATTTTTTGAGTTTCCGGTCAAGCGTTTTTTGAAACCCTGGCTGCTTTCTGCTCTTCAGTCAACAGGTGGAGTATTCGAGAAACTAATTTTCTTACTCCTAATTCTTCATGTAAATTTTTTTGAATTGAGGACTTTGAGATCTTCAAGGACGCCTCAATCTCGCGATATATCACATATCTATCTTCAATGATGAGTTTGGGCACAGCATCGAAGTTTTCCTGGGTGACTGCGGTTTTTGGTGCACCTACCCTGGGATCGTCGCTAAGACTCGCCCATCCACGTTTGAATTCTCCATACCAACGGAAAATTGTCGACTGATGTGGCGCTTCGTTGCCGAAAACAGACAGTAACTCAGCAAGGCATTCTTGTTGCAATAATTGTCTCTGAAAGTTGTGATAAATTATGGCGCGAAAATGTTCTCGGTTGAGTTCCATTTTTCTAACGACTTGGTGACACTTAAAAATTTACTGTAGTGAGAACACTGCACTTATTGTTGTGAAATTTTGAATTTAAGTTTACTAAAGAGTGAGGTTAAGATTCAGTACTGACGTTCGATCCGCGCGGCCTACTATGTTTCTATATGAAAAACTTAACAGACATCCCTCGTATTCATGCGTGTTTGTAATGGAAGATCTTCCAGCAGAGTGGGTAATTGTTCTTCAAGAAATTGTAAATAACTTTTGACCATTTAGTTTAGGTGGTAACTTAACGGGTCCTATTAAATGTTGTACAATTATTCCTGCCCATAAATTAACTTGAAATTGTACTTGGTGACGGGTTTGTAATATTGCATGAGGATTTTCGTCTGCATAAATGTGAAGATTATGCGAGTTAATGAGCCCATCCCTTTCAAATACTGCTTCGTCCAAAAATAATATTATTCAAGTAAAACCATTGTCGTTGTTAAACACAAAATTCTACCCTTGAGGGGTCATCATCCGCGCTTAAATCATATACTTTTTACAGGTCGTATGGTTGGAGCAGCTGCTATTGAAAAATGGTATTTACTGTACATTCGGAAACTTGAAATTCTCGAGCTACATTCCTAACCCCAACTGTAGGATTTTCAAAGACAGCAACTAAAACATTTTCTTCAACCTCAACCGTACGTACAGTTCTGGGACTATGTCGGCCCATCTTTTGAGCTATACTACCTAAAATCCAAATAGTTTTTACTACTCAAAGTAAGGCTATAATCGTTTCTTACCAGTTTCTCGTAACCGCTGATCGATTCGTTGGGAAGTCCTTGAATTAGGCAGGTGGTCACTTGCCAATCCGTACATTAAATGCATATCAGAATATTTATCAAACGTATACTCCATGATGTTTAACAACTTATTGCCAACTTAAAATTATTCATGAAGTTTAAAGCAATATTATGACGAACATTAGAAACGCTACTCAGATAACATCCAAAGCAACTTCAATATTATGTTATTGTGACGATAAATAGTACTGTTGGCGCCATCTGTTGGGAGAGTCTCCTACCCGCCAAAGCTTGATGGCCGATCTCTGCTTTTACGCGGACCACGACCGCACAAGCCGCTTGGTGGCGTCTGTGAGGAACTGAGGACCGTGGCAGCGACTCGCCTTCTAGATCGCCGCGAAGTAACCTCGACTATTCTGGAAGGCCGCTATGTGGCTCCCGATTCGTCTCGACTCAACGATGAGGAGTATATAACTCGGCGGCCGGGAGATGAAAGCAGAGTACAGTACAGTGGAGTAGAGCGGAGTGGATTATAGTTCAGTCAATGGCGCGACATAAGGATTAGTCAGACATCAATAGTGGTGTACAAAATGTTTTATCAAGTTAAATAAATTAGTGCATTACTTTTTGTGGAATCCAATGTTTTAATCCACACCCAAAAGAACTCAGAAAAACGCTACATTATAAAAATGTTTAATCATCATGGTACAAGCAATTCATTGGAACTTTTAAAAACAAATATCACGAAAACTACTAGCTTTAGATACTTCTAACAAGTAAATATTCTTTGTTGTGGAAATACGAGAAAATAAGACCTTTTGGTCAGTTGTTGTATACAGGGTGGCACAAAAAAGTTATGAAAAGTTATTTATCGAAATAGTGCTGTAAGTGGCGTCCTCTAGAAGTTTGGCCATAAAAAATAACGGACTCTTGTTTCTCTCACTACAAAATCTCCCTACACCGAGTTTGAAGCCAAAATCTGAAATACTTCTCAAACAATGAGGAAAAATAGAAAATAAAATTGTAACTTTGACACCCTGTATCTCGCAAACTATCAACGTTTGCACTGAGGTATGTTTAAGTCAATTCACATATTTTGGCCTGTAGAATCTCTAGTTTCGAGATTTCCCAACATTTCGCAGACACCCTCTGCGTTTTATATATATTTTACATATTAACTCCAATTTTGCAAATAGGAACTAAAAAACTAATGCTAACATAATATAAAGCATCCACGCTATTTTACTATAATTTCATTTTTTGTTAATATCTTAATTTTGCAGTAACAGCAACTATCCTATTTTTGAAAATTATCTTCTAGCTTTTACAGTTAAACAGTGATGCTGCTTGAGCGATACAAGAATCCTTATGTTTTCATGCATGCTTAACACTTATTTCACGTCAGATTCACAGCAGAAAATCGCTGAAACCAGTTCAGAAAACAAACCATATTTTTATAGCATTATTCACCCTACAAAACGTTGCCACTCTGTGCATATATTCGAATAATTGCAAAAAGTATATTCAGCAAAGGGAATTTGTATTAATATATCCAATAGAAGGCGAGTCAGATTTGGATCTAGTAACAGTCTTTCGTTTTTTTTCTGTATACCAAAAGGCGATGCATCTATCCTGACCACTTAATATTCAGCAGCAAAAATTAACCAAACTTCTAGCAGGGAATTTGACTATATTCAAGATTTAATAACCGCCTGGGCTACGCACGTTTGTTCTATATATGAAAAACGAACAGTGCAGTGGGCTTTTGTTTGTTTGCTTAAGACTTATTTAGCATGATTTCTACAATTACATTATTTTAAAAAAACTACAATAATTACATAACATACAAATGTTCAGAAAAACAGAACTTGCATCTCTAAGAATTTTCACTGTCCATCGAATGTTCCTTTACTTTTTTTTAAATATTTTTTTAATAACAAGTAGACATTATATCATTATTTAGTTTATTAAATTCAAGTAATTCCTTCTGAAATATTGATTCGCTATTGCAATTTTATAAGTAGAAATCTATATTTCCTCTTGCATAGTAATTGTGGTAATGATTGTCCAATGCTATGTAATGTTCTCAATGTTGTCGCAAAAGACGATTTATTATTTTAAATATAAAAATAAGATCCAAATACGATATGAAATTTTTTATATCCAATATATTATATATGTATTACTATCATTGTTTTATTTTTTAGGTCTTGTAATTTTGAGAACACAGTTTCACTGGCAGTGAACAGGATATTAATATAGTAAATGCCGTAGAATAATTGTATTATAAATCCTATGCTTGGGGATCTCAATACCTGTGGGAGATACTACAAAACTAAAAAAAAACTAAACTATTCTTATTTATTTTTTTCTGACTTCATTTTAAGAAGTATCAAAAATTAATGGAACTTTTTCATTTATTTGTACTTTTTAGGCACTATACGATGGTGTTTTTAAATGTTGTGTTCAAAGTTTTGTTTTTGAGGAACCATCCAATCAACCATTTATGATCCGAAAAAGAAAAGGTTTTTTTATTTTATATAAGTAGGTGTTGGAAACAAATGCCAGATGTAAGTTTATGCGATTACTGATAGATGCATATCACATAGTACATAATGATATGATGGGGACATTTTTAGAATAACGAATGCAGTTTTATTATTTAGTTTTGCTCACAATAGGTGTTCAAACAGGTTGCCATTATTTTCTAAACATAAGTAACGTTTACTTGTTAGATCTTATTATGATGATGAAATCACGACTGAAAATGAAAAAATCCATTGATCTAATTCACGATTTAAATCGTCGCAATACTGGCGTGCGATGAATCGTGCTTCTTAATTCTAATTTACTCTACTATAGCTAGTTCATAAAAAGTATTATTTTTACCTGTTTGATTTCACGGGCTACCCTCTGGTTGACAGAGATGAGGTCATACGGATTCGGCATGTCAACGCACTCGTTGAGGACGTCAGTGGTACGAGCCAGCCTGCTCAGCATAATCCGGAGTGAATCCAGTTGGGTAAATATCAGCCTGCCTTTGGTCTGCCGAGTATGGTCGATCATCCTTAGCAGATTCATTTCGCGCTCTTCCAATGCAATCATATATCTGGAGAGCAACGTTTATGTAATTTAAAAACGTTCTGTAAGAATCCATCCATATGGTTTATCCACGTTATTATTATTGGCCAATCATAAAAACCAAGTACCCATTCCTATTAAATATTCTTAGTTACATATGTGGTAAAGCGTTCCAGTTTCTAACAATCCCCTTATGCGCATCGTGTGTGCGCGTGTGAGTGTGTGTGTGTGCGCGCAAGTGAAAATATTTACTTTAATGTCCACTTATTAGAGGTGTTCATGGTTTCAATTGTATCGATACAAGTGTTTCATTTTAGTGTCACTGCCTTAATTAATAGCAGGCTAAGGACTCTCTAGATATTCTCGTACCTGGGTCATTGCTGTCACGCTTGGTTCAATCATGTCTCTTCGAAGATCTTTAAATATGTCATAAAGAGGGTGTCTAAATATTCCGTGGACATAGGAGTACTACGTGTTTTTAGACCCAAGAAAAGTCGATTGGACATGAGTTACCTCTAAGCAAAAGTGGTTCGTTGGTCCGTTAGAGGGCGTCAAAGCTTTTTAAACACATTTTGCAAGATATTTTAAGAACCGATACTCCGATTTCCCGTTCCGCACAGGTATCATGTAAAAAACCTATAAAACGTCAAAAAAACCTATAAGATGTGAACTTGCAGAATAAGTAGTTTTTAGGGCGCAAACAGTCATTCCACGTTTGCTCACTAGGATCGTTGTGAACGTCCATCTATGGAGGAATCACTCAACTAAACTACGCATTATGGGTTGCATAGTTTTGTGAGGCCAAATGGTCCTTTGTCTGTAGTTTTATCTCTGAGAAGAAAGTTGGCTGATTAGCAAGATAGCATCTGGATGATTATGTGTATTGCCCAACTAGCAAAGTTGTGGTATAAGCTTTTGGTAAAAGAAACGTAAAGCTCTCTATTGTTGTTGCCTGAACACCAAAATGCTGGCTTAATGTTGTGTGGAATGCAAATTTGCTTTCTGCAACATATTTGCTCTAAAATGAGGTGTTTAAAATATTCTTATAGCATAGTTATACAACACCTTATAGGGCAAATTTTTAACTGTTGCATAAATGTTTATACAACTATTTTATACGGCATATTTGCACGTTAGTCAAACTGGTTGTGTTGTGGCATCCATGGTAACGTTTATAAAACCAACCCGAGCCTTGTTGTTTTGCTATGCAATTTACTACTTTAGCCAAGAAATTGCTCCCAACGGAAACACTTATACAACTGTTGTTTAGTAACTGTTAAAGGCTGCACATATGCTAAATATATACAACTTCACCATAACCTAACTTTCTGCTGTCATATTTTTGTTAAAATGCCATAACCAACGTTTTAAGACAAACAATGCATGCTTTTTGGTTCAAAAGGTTTTATGAACTGTTCAAACAAAAGATATATATCTGGTACAAATTCTGGGTAAATCATTAGACTCTGTCGGTATTTCATTTCAGACATTTGTCAAATTGTTGTATAACACCTGCAGGCAACACCAAAATATTCTAATAAACTAAAGACAACATGGACGATGCCATGATTATACATAACCACCCGCCATATTGGGCATACATTTATTCCTCTATTTAATATTAAATAATTATGTTTCAGTTCGAAATTACAGATATAAAGTGATAAACATTAGTGTAATTGTGTCTAAATATAGGATTTGTGGAAGATTTAACGCAGATAAGTTCAGTTTTCCATCTTAAAAATCTAGACATACTTTTGATCATTATCAAAATATGAATCAAATACGAAGCCCGTAGAAATTGCGTAAATAATTTGCACGATAATCACAATAAAATTTGCTGCCCAAGTAATTCAATAGCCCTATATAACTGTGTAGCAGTTTATCATATACCTGTGTATGAAATTGTTAGTTATATATTCTTCTTCGTATATACAATACATAAGAAATAGTTTGGTTGCAATAAAATAGAATCACGTAACATAATAGTTGTATAGTTGACAAAAACTGAATCTTGCACTGACGCAAATGTCCTATAGCGGCTGCAAGAGGCTTACACTTTTGTTGTATAACTGTTACCAGCCCTTATTCAACCTCTTAAATGACTGAAGTGTCCTATTAGGTGCGCCCATTCCGCTTGTATAGCTATTCTAAGAGGGTTTTGCCAATGTTCTTACAGTATACAATGCTGTGTAAGGAATAATAATAATAATAATAATATTTATTTACTCTAAAATACAGGGAACATGAAACGAGTAAATAAATATAATATATCCATAGGAGGACAACGCCTGTGCATGGATCATATGTATGTTGAATTGCAAAATATAATAAAATAGAGAGAAAAAAGAAATTATTTGTAAGAATGGTAGAGCATGTATTGTGTAATATTTGAGATTATTTTATTAATTTGATTTCTCCCAATCGTGTTAATAAATTTTTTTAATTTTTTTTTGAAGCCTAATGTATTGCGTAATTGTTTTAAAATATTTGGTAAATGTTCGTACAATTTTGGAGCTATATACAGGTGACATCGTTTCATTAGGGATTTGTTTGGTTTAGGAACATTTTTTGCGCGTAATTTATATCTGGTTTTATGATTATGTTTAATTATGTCGTGTTCACTAATAGTTTTGTGATAATGAGTGATGGTATGTAAGAAGTAAAGTTGTTTAGTATCATATACTTGTGCATCATTATATAAGTCATTAGTTGGGTATAATTTTGATTTGCCTAACATTGATTTTAAAATTCTTCTTTGAAGTACATCTAAATCGTTAAAGTATGTCGTGCATGCAGCACCCCACACTACTATACCATATGTTATGTGTGGCTCGATATATAATATATAATCATTCTTGCAACTCTAATAGGAGTGATAATTGTTAGTTGCATGTGTATAAAATCAAGTGATATTTGCTGTGTGAGAAAATACGCCGAATATGACGGGTTATTTATATGTTGTGCTTTCTGAAGAGATGTTATGTTCAAAGTTATAAATTACGAAAAACTGAGGAGAATTACGGGAAATCATCACCGCGCCCGCGTTGTGTGTAATTACTGTTAGCATGTTTATGGCTTGTAATTCGACGGTCTACAGTGAATATAATTATTTCTTATATCTCTCATTTTTGAAACTCAGCAAATTTGTATATGTAATTTCCAGAATGGATAAGAAGAAGTGGATGCTCAACTAATTCCTAGCTTTGAATCTCAATTAAGTGTATTTGAGACAAGAACCCAATGTAATTATCATCAACACATACAACTTACAGCTTAGACCTCCAGTAATGCCATCTCAGAAGCAGATTTCACATCACATCAGATCCAAAGAATGATAACAAGCCTCATGACGTGTAGACAATACGTACAACTAAGTGCTAAGTTAACATCTCGTAGAATAACCTACATACTGTCAAAAAAAAACAGCATAATGTCAAAAAAAAATCGGCATAATGTTACTTTTCAAGATACGTGATACCCGTGCCGTTCTAATATTCTACTTTTACGAAAAACTGTAAGGGGTTCGAGCAGGATGAAAACTATCCCCACCTCTACATAAATCATAGCAAAATTGTTTGGCAACAGTCCATCTCGGATAGTTGTCGAGATAAAAAAATAAGTTGGATCAAGAGGTTTCCAAGCGTCTTATTAATATTCCTTAAGTGCAGGTAGCGCAAGTAAAGAATTATGATATGACGTTTAACAATTTTCTAGTTCCCGCACATAACAACAGGGCACAAACAATTTAACACTTGATGTACTGTAAGGAAATTTTTCAGAAACCAGCTCCGAAAATCAATTTATTTTCTCGAAAACCTTGCAAGATGGCCTGTTTTATGAGATTAAAAGTGAAGTAAATAAAAGGATCCTTTGAATAAAAAGATTACAGTTGTTGCGAAAAAATTCTGCTACAATTTATGTAGGTATGAACCCTCTCGTTTTTTTTGTAGAAGTTAAATATTAGAACGTCGAAATTTCACTCAAATCAGTTCTGAAAATATCTCAAAAAATTTTGATGCCGCCTAACGGACAAACGAAGCACTTTTGCATACAGGTGAATCATGTCCAATCGACTTATTTTGAGTCTGAAAGTAGGTGCTACTTATGTGACCACGGAATATTGGGACATCTTGTAGAAACAGTCTGAGTGAATTCGAAAGGTGAATAGAGACGTTATTCCGATAAATCTCTCTCCCAGATAATATATAATAAAAGTACACATAATGTGAAAAAGCATTTATTTCGGCAAATGTAAAAAAATAATAGAGAAAAAATGAGCTTCGTGGATTCGAACCTCCGTCCTGCGGTTCTGCAATCTTCAATCATTCCCATTACGCTATGATGCCTCTTGGCTTACTAAATCCTTATACCACTATACTTGACACTGACAAATGTTAAGTGAGCAATGGAATATCAAATTTAATATAAACAACTACAGTACTACTCTTGAAAACCATACAATATACCATGCTGAATCATTAAATAATGTATTAGGGTCTAATAATGAGCATTTTGCCAAATTTTAAGACAATCAGTTCGCTACAATTGGATATTTCTCTATTGATTTTTGTTTTCTCGAGTTTATTTTCCAACATTTTGAACTAGCACTCGTTTTATTCCAACGAGATTTCGAAAACAGACGTATACTATATTAATACTTTTAGAAAAAAAGTCCAGGGAATTATATTTCTTCGTAAAGAAACTGGATTACGTGACCTACTTATTTGACAAAGGCATGCAGTCATCAATAATGAACCCATTTAGCACATGTTTCATACTAACTAGTCTAAAGGTGCGTTTACATATGAGCACACACGCACTGAGCAAAGACGCACGCATTCGTTCGCGTGCGTGGAGAGTGTTTAAACTGAAATTCATTTTTCAACGCATGGGCTGATCCAGTCGTTCGCGTACGATGTTAAAATGGAGAATAGAGATATAGCCGCGGCAGCATCTATTATAGTGTATAATTTAATTAAAACAAAAGAAAATTGGAAACGTAGATGTCGTTGGTGGATAACCGAATTTCTACGCAGAAGAAATAATGATCTATTGGAGGAATTAGTATCAGACAATCTATAATCAATTCAGAAATTTTAGAAGAACGATCAAGGCTGACTTTGAATACCTGCTTACGTAACACCAACGATAATGAAAAATGATACAGTTTCGAAAATCTATATCATCAAGAGAACGTTTAGCCATAACCTTGCTTTTTGTTGGCAACTGGAGACTTCTACACCAGCTTGCAGTATCTTTTCAGAGTGTCAAAATTTTTATTTTACTTTTTTTCGACACGAAATGATCCCATCACTCTTTTAATTTTGTCTGTGCTTCGCAATTTCAATTCTACAATCGATTACTAGTTGTTGCCATGCATATTTTTTTTCAATTTTAAAAATAATACTCTTCGTGCCTAACGTTCCACAGCACCAGTAGTTTCTCAAACCCTTGCAGTAGTTTTAAAACTTTATTATTATTCCATTCCATCATTTACTGGACTACATATAATTAACTCTTCAATCCTGTGCGCCGCGTTGTCGTTTCAGTCCACATTGAGCTAGTGATGTAAAATAATTAAGTAACGCTTACAAAATAATCGTTACAAATGAGTAACTAAATGTAACGAGTCCTACTTTTTGAAAAGACTCGTTACTTTTTATTTGAATTCGTTACTTTGAATGCGATACGGTCTTTTTCTATGTATACTTTTTAATTACTGTTAGTTACTACACTATACATTACTTTGGATACAAACGTTACTGGGATCTAATGTAGCCAGTACTGCCAGCGCCAGCAGCAAGTGACTTGGTTCTTGGATGTAAACTGGGTGGAAATGAAATGATGCGAATATCGTTAGGCTTAGGCAACTTTAGATACTCTTCTATCAAACGAGTTGCGGACTGCGGAGCTTTAGGTTGGCAATGTTTGTGTACACCTGTACACTTTTCATTTGACTTTGAGAGCTAGCGGTTGGCGGGTTGTTACTGGTTTGGACGTTCCGTACAAGCTCGAGCAATAATATAATTATTATTTGTACAAAAATATGGAATCATCCGCGTCCGGTTCAGGAGAATCGCAAACTCAAAAAAGAAGTGTTATTTGGATGCATTTCACCAATATATCGGAAGCTAATGCAAAGTCTGATCTTTGGAAAAATATTTATTCGCATAAAAATGGAAACATTAGCAATTTAAGGAAGCATTTGAAAACTAAACATCCGACTCTTTCATTGGAAGGAGAAAGGGCAAAACGGCGGGTGGAAGACGAAAATATGCCTAGGTGCAAAAGGAACTTAGTTTCAGGTATGTTTTATTATTATAAGTATTTTGTTGAACACCATTTACAGGGGAGTAACCAGACTGTTAGGGCAGGGGACGCTACTCAACTAAAGTAAAGAGTGAGGAGAGTGGTTCCTCCACGGTCCCCATCTGGTTATGCCACTTGTTGAATACTATTTACAGCGTACAGCCAACGAACCAGACGTCACACAACGACGAGTTTAAAATATAAGTACCTTCTACGTATCAAATATCAAAAAAATCAATAGGCAAGGCATTAGACAAAAAATAATAATTGGATCAATCCCAAAGTAATAATTTGATATAATATATAGAATGTAGGTTCTAAACGAAATGTCCAAATAGTAACTAAACTAACGAGTCCAAAGTTCGAAAGTAACGAGTCCTTACAAGTCCTAAAAAGTAACGAAACTTTGCATCACTACATTGAGCATTCGCGAACCATTAATTCCTTTGAGCTACGTCGTGAGACCGACGCCGGGTGGATCACATACGCTGTTGCTCGCGCACATGAAGATACAGGGTGAGCGTGCGCGCATAGCCGTTTACACTTGACCATTCGCGGTGGATCAGTACGTGCGTGCTCAGATCTAAAGGCACCTTAAGACAGTTTGAAACATAATCGTGTCTTCAGTTTGCGGGCTCAGTTTATGAACAGTTCAGCGCATTTCAGTATGGAATATTTTTTTTATAAATTTTAGGGCTCATCTGTGACCATGTAAAAATTTCAACTCCAAATATGTTTACACAAGAGTATGAAGAAATCTTGAAAAAAAGTGTTTTCTTCGTAACAAAAGGTGATCGGCACATCCGCTTTGCATAATAACCTGTGTTTATTGAATATCGTAGCGAATCTGTTCAGTTACTCACGTATACAAAATGTTTGAGTTTGTTTAGAAGAAAAAAAAACGTAATCCTTCGTTTTTCACATTCAAATAGCAGTTATCTTTCGGAATGGTTTGTGATTCACGTCGGCAAGATAAACTCGTGTATTTTTTTATAAAATGGCCCATTAAACTAGAAGTGAGGGCCGGAAGATAGGTGTTTTGGGATAAACAATTAGAAATTTGCAAATACTTCTTGACCAATTGACTCCAATTTTGTTGTGGTTATTAAGAAGTATAATTTTAAGAATTTCAAGTGGCTGCGTGAAATTATCGTCGCATTAGCAACAAGTGCCAAAACCTGCATTTTGCCTCGGTTTTCGGCCATAGCTTTTCTACTATTAGTCGGATCTTCTTACGTGTCCTCTCATTTTGTAGGTCTCATAAATACCTACAAATCTTATTTATAGAGTGTTTTCGTTCCTGCCAACACTATTAATTAAATCCCAAAAAACACGTTTTCTCATTATTTGTTGAAGAATAAGAAGTTTTCCCACAAAAATTGGTGTACCGATTTTATGCGTCCATGTTTAAAATACCCCATTGAACCAACTTGCATCAATAAAACCAGACGTTACAATTATTCCGGGGAAATTTGCTAATATGATTAGACTATGCTGACGATACGGCCCTTAGATACTTTGATACCGGTTCTGTTATGAAAGAATGTCAGTTTTATAGTTACCTCCTGATGGTATTCCTGACATCATAGGCGGCTTGCAGCGCCCCGCTTTCGATCATATGCGCCGTCCTTTCCACATTGTCCGCCACCTCCCTTAAACTGGCAATGGCCACCCTCGCCTCGGCAGCCAATCGCCTGCCTTGTTGACGTGCCGTGTCCGCCGCCTCCTCGATGTAGGTCAACTGGTGTCCGTGATGGTGGTCGTTCAGCACGCACTCCGTACACGCCGGGGCGCAGCATGATTGGCAAAACAGTCTAGAAGAAGAATCCCTAATGTATCTAGCAATTCATTAGTTAAGGACTTCTTATTCAGTGGACGCCTTATTTACCAGTAACATAAGTAACAGGAGAGAAGTTATATATCTTTCTTAAGGAAGAAGTCGGCCTTGCTCGATCGATTGCGTTGCATAGTCTCCAGGTTTTCTTAATTTCATCACTTTCTTTACATATTTTCTTGTCAGTGAGAAGCACTTTCTGCATCAAACATCAAATAACTGGAAGTCTTTCTTGAATATTTGACAGCTCCCTTGCATTGACTGTCAGCCTTTTGTATTTTGCCAAACAGTTCGTTGATCAAGTCTCGTTGAGAAGCTGTGAGAAGGAGGTGGATCGGTTGACACTAGCGGAAACTTTCGAGTTGCAGTTGAAATTTTAAGTTTGTTAGCCCTAGCTAATAGGGACAATGCAAAGTATTATTATTAAGTCGTATGGAAACGGAAAGTAGGTACTTTAAAATACTGTAACAACTACATCGTTTTTACTGCACAAATTCTGATTTATTACTTACACTAATTTATGACACTTGTACTAATTTATAACCATGTTGACTGAACTATGGCATTCCGCGTTGTTTGTCTCGACTGTGACTAAGTGCTTCCGCAAGATGGTCCGGCCATTTAGGTGGTAAATTGACGTACGTCCCGAAACGCGTTTTCTGGATCAGCAAGTAGGTCCATAGGTGCAACTGGATGTTCTGCAGCAGAAGAATGGTACCGTCTTCTCCTGGGTCCCCTACGCAGGAAGGTGCCGATGCAGACCAGACTTTCCACGCTCGTATTCTGGAACAGCACCTCCGCCACATTCCAGAACGGTTCTCTAATCCAGTCCACCTCCAGCTGCGGTATCGCCAGCTTCCGGATATTCCAAGCCATCTTATGTTGCCGTATGTTGATAGGTCAGCAGCTGATGATGAGTTGCCCTGGCGGCATATTCGTCAATACCCGACGCGTTATATTTCCGAAGTAGCATCATATTGTAACAAGAATGAATGGTACTATTAGCGCCATCTGTTGGGAACCTCGTCAGGGTCTCTCCTACGGCATCGAAGCAAGCTGCGAGACTGACCCCGAAGATTCTGGTGTGGCCGCTATGTGGCGTATAGGAACTTTCTTGAATTAACGAGTACCTGCGAGCGGCATACGTAATACTCGTAAAAGCCGATGGCTGGAGCGGGGGGCGGAGTTAAAAGTCAATAGCGCGAAAATTTAATTCGTAAATAAGTAGTCAGACATAAATAGTGGTGTATATAAATGTTCTATCTAGTCAAGTTAAAGTAGGTTGTGTTGTAAATAAATTAGTGCATTTATTTTTGTGGAACCGAGTGTTTTAATTCACATCCAAAAGAACCCAGGAAATCGCTGCAATATATACCAGACGTATCGGACTTATTTACCCGACGCGTTATCCACTCAAAGTAGCTTCATTCATATAGGAATTACACCTGACATATCATGCTAATTCATCATTTATTTACTAGTATAACAACGCACTGAAACAAAACGGTTATTTATTTGATCCTTTACAAGTTCTTTACCATAATCTTTACAATGGGAATACCCTATTACTGTGGCGTATTATTAGTAAAGTTGCGGTAATAAAATAGAAATGAAAAAAAAAATTAGGGACTATTTTTTATAGAATCACTTCATAAATTCTGAAAATAAGTCGTTTACGCATGTGAAATGTGCATTGGGTGCAAGTTCATGATTGATAGCACAGCAAAATAAAAGAAAATAAGTCATTCAAAAAGTATATTTTGATTGAAATATCAATTCTGCATTATAAAATATTTTCAGATAAAAACTCGATCTGAAGCAACATTATAGTTATTAAAAAAATTTTTCGTGGGCTTAAGTCATTAACCTCAAACAACCTGTGATGTTTAAAAACCATTCTATTTGTTAGACTTATTCATTTCCAAAGCCATAATTATTGTTTTATATTGATAGTTTACTGGTAGGTCACTTAAACCACGCATATTTTATTTTATTTACTATCTAGATTTCGAATAGCAGTCCATATACTTGAATTTCAGAATCAAATGATAAGGGACAAGAGATAAATACCTGACGTATCGTCATGATACGTCTGGTATTTACCGAACGCTCGAGCGTAGCCGAAATATCTCGAATGTATAACGCGTCCGGTATTTACGAGCCCTGGTGACAAGCGCGTAGACGAATCGGCCACCATCCGGAACACACAGAACTTTCCCAACTTGCGGCTGTTGCTATTTGAAGCTCTGGTGGCATCCCAATTCCAGTGAGTCTTTCCCGCGGCAGCGAAAATAAGTATCATTCCGACCACGCCAAAAGGAGCCTCGTCGCTTCCCGAATAAGCTCCAAGAAACAATTCCAACGAGGGCTCAGTGTCTTCTGCTTGATGGCAGTGGGCGCTTGCTTCCTCGTCACTTCCGGCAAACGGGGTCAGTAAATTTTAGTGTACGATCCTCGGATTTCCTTTTGCATCTTTCCGGGTTCTCTTCAAAACCTCGTAAGGGCCTTCTCAGGACAGTTGCAGCTTTGGAGAGAGGCTTTTCTTCCATTGGGAATGATAGAACCACACCAGGTCGCCCTGTTGATAGTCACCCTCTTCGGCACAGACGTAGTCGATACCTGCCACATCCGCTCCGGCTCGACTTCCAATATGCAGGTCCCAAGGTAGCCGGAGCTTACTTGCGAACAACACTTTAGGTGGGGTCTGGCCCGTTGACTCGTTAACTGCGGCCCGATACGCGACCAGGAACATGGAGAAATACCGCTAATGACTGGACACCACCTTTGATAAGTATTTTTCAATGTTCCGGTTCATCCTTTCCACCAGTCCGTCCGATTGGCGGTGCAGCGCCGCAGTTCTCGTCTACCTGATTCCCAGGCTCTCGCAGACTCCTTGAAGAGATCGCTCTCGAAGTTCCTCCCCTGGTTGAAGCGCAGTTCCAGCGGACATCTCAAACAGCCTGAAGTAGCAGACGTGTTAGGTCCCGTTTCGCTTAAACAGCAGCTAAGAACAGTTGATGACTTGAAGTGGAGCTATCCACGTTAGTTTGGAAACATTGCTCTAGGTCCTAAGTCACATCTGTATTAACCAGAACAATCTACACTATCTATCGCAAAATTCATGATCGGAAAATCAGGGGTTGGGGCTGACGCAGTGGATTTTTCTTCTATGGCGATGATGACCAACTTAGAATGTATAGGGTTGCCACTCAGAACGGCTTTTCAGTTAAATTGCGAGTATGTGAGTCACAACACGCTGCTTTGCGGTTCACCCTTTAAAACGCATAGGTAAGAGAAAACTTTTCCATCGGGGATCCAGACGTTCACGTTTTTTTACCCGTATGACCATTTAGAGGAAACATTACAACACCAGAGTATCAAAAAATAATGATAAAATGTTTGATTAGCCTGGTGAATTGTAGGGGAAACATCACGTCAATATCTTCCTCCTCATCCTTTATTCGAGTAAGGGGATACATTTGTTTCAAAACTGCATTGTAATTAGAAAATTGGTAGTGCTAAAATAAGTGATGAAAAAAGTGATTCGCTAATAGAGCTGCGCAGTCTATTATCAGAATCGACCTCAGCGAGGGTGAATAGCAGCATTAATTAACGTATTCTACCAGAAAATAGCCAACCATGTACTGGACTTCGGTGACCAAAAAATTATCCGAGATCAAATAAGATCCTGGCGTCATCTATAAGAATTTGACACAGCTGTTTCTTATCTCCGAAATAATCTAAGATCCGAACTAAAATCGTGTTCCACCGGTGTGTCAACCAGATGAAAATGACATTTTATCAAATGAAATAAGTTTTTGAATATACTTTGATTAAGCAACCCTTTAAAAAATGGTAATATATATATATATATATATATATATATATATATATATATAGGTGAAAAATTAAAGCTTCCGCCTTTTGTTGGGTACTTCGACAAAATTTAAGCAAAGAGGACTCTTTATACCTTTTTTAATTCTCTCTAGCTTTCAATGGACTTTGCCATCATCATCAGGAGTTGCAATTACAATGATAACAGTAGCAACAAAAGTGTAAAATGAATTTAGATTGATGATGATGGCAAAGTCCATTGAAAGCTAGAGAGAATTAAAAAAGGTATAAAGAGTCCTCTTTGCTTAAATTTTGTCGAAGTACCCAACAAAAGGCGGAAGCTTTAATTTTTCACCTAACTGGTCTAGACGACAATGACCACGTCTCAAGTTTTATATATATATATATATATATATATATATATATATATATATTAGTATATATAACAAAAAGTAGGAAAATAATGGGCAAAATCCGCAAACAGAAGGAAAGTGGATTCGAGGAAAGAATAGGATAGGTAACCAGAGAAATACATATTTCTGCTTGTTGGTTTCATCAGGCCCGAAATGAATGCACATATGCAACTAGAAAAGTAGATACACATGTCCAAAGAGATCTCTTTGTAGATCCGTTGGGCTTGAAGTACCACAGCAAGTGGCTTTAACCGGCCGCGTGGTTGTGGTTAGATGTCTCCTTGAAAATTCGAGGTCTTCTAGCCGTTTTATACTACAATGTGTAGGTTGGCTCTTGTTGTGGACTTCGTGTGTCGTTTTTTTTCCCTCTCCATCAACGTTTCCTCAGGTTACACCCGTATCCGGATGTGTGGGCATGTGTATCTACTTTTGTAGTTTCATATGTGCATTCATTTTGGGCCTGATGAAGCCAACCAGCAGAAATACGTATCGCTCGGGTTACCTATCCTATTTTCTGCTCGAATCCACTTTCTTCCTTTTTGCGGATTTTGCCCATTATTTTCCTACTTGTTGTTATATACCTTTCTCCGCATGATCATATTCTCTTTGTAGATCCTTTGGGCTTGAAGTACTACAGCAAGTGGCTATAACCGGCCGCGTGGTGGTGGTTAGACGTCTCCTTGAAAATTCGAGGTCGTATAGCCATTTTATACTACAATGCGTAGTTTGGCTCTTGTTGTGGACTTCGTGTGTCGTTTTTTCCCCCTCTAACATCGTTTCCTCAGGTTACAGCCGTATCCGGATGTGTGGGCATGCGTATCTACTTTTGTAGTTTCATATATGCATTCATTTCGGGCCTGATGAAGCCAACCAGCAGAAATACGTATCGCTCGGGTTACCTATCCTATTTTCTGCTCGAATCCACTTTCCTCCTTTTTGCGGATTTTGCCCATTATTTTCCTACTTTTTGTTATATACCTTTCTCCGCATGATCATTTTCTCTCTCTCTCTCTCTCTATATATATATATATAATTAAAATTATAATATAATAATATTTTTCAAAATTTCGCCGGCGTGCCAACCATACACAACAAACTCTAATTTATTCTCAAAGGTGTCTGGTCTCCATCAAATCCTTTTAGTTTTACATAACCATCTAGGAACCAACCACAATTGTGAGAGCTTAATATTTTATACAATTAGGGTCAGTAGCATGCAGCCACATTGAATTTATATAAATAGTGCGTAAAATTTTTTGTTTGAGTGATTCTCAACATGGTGGTATCGTATTTGAGTCAAAACTTTTAACTTTCTTAAGGAAATTTTCAGTACCTTCTTTCGCAGAAAATTTTTCAAGAAATATTTGATATCTGGCGTCATTTACTTTGTTACATGGCCTAGGTAAATTCATACATCATACATTAATTTTATCATTCATAAAAATATCAGCTCCATATGTTAATGAAGCCAAGCAGTTTTGATACGTTTGGTTCTTCGAAAATAGCTTAAATGGTCTTAGCTTCCCCTTATTCGAAAAAGCTGCGCTGTAATCGGAACCAGTGTATGCATGGAAAGCAGGTAGATCTAGACACAGATCTTATCCCAATTTTGATGCCAATTCCGTACAATTTGTGCAATAATTAAGGTCATTACTATTTTTTCTTTGTCAATGAACTTGCAAGTCAAATTTGACAGTTTTGAATTTTGTGCATATTACCCAATAAAATTATCAAAACATCTGTGTCTGCTGATTTGATTAAAATATTTGAACCTACTGCTTCCTTGTCAGCGAGAAAAACTATTCTCGTATCCACATCTTTGATGGAAAGATTCATAAATAATCATTTTCTTTCGTTTTTATTACACGATTTTGTTGAATGAGATACGAATAGCAATGTTCTTCCAGTGTCAAAACATTTTTTTGTCATTGATTTCTTTTTCTAAAAGCCTTCATCTGTTGCCGTATGTTGAGCCTCTTTGAAACGATAATTTTTCAGACCTTCAAAAAATTTGGAGGTCTAGTTTGTTGAGGACCTGAAATTTTGAACGGAATATCAAATTCCTGTCGATTCTGCCGTTCTGAATCCTTGATAGAGGGAAAAAATATCGATCAAAAATTAAAGGTATTTCGTTAGCACGTGATGAACAACAGAGTTTGATCAGTATTGACTCTGCATTTTTACGAATGTATGAGGCATCGTAGATCCGATCAAATGCAAGTAAAAAAATCCATCGATGATCTCAACATTTATAGTTGTTGGTTGAACCGTTTTCACTTGAAACTTTAATGTTTTAGCTAAAGTTGATTTGTCTGTTTTGAACATTTCTCCACTACACGAAAAAAGAGCAGGCGGCGCCTTTGCGCATAGCTGTAATACTGTGTCCTTGTCTATAGCGGGGAATAGTACGCGCAATGCCTCTCTGTCTAACAATTTCGCTTGCTCCGATTTCTCAACTTTAAAGTCTATGAACAGATTTTCTCAAGCAACCATAAACTACGTGATTTGTAATTAAATTGTTTTCATTTTAAGACTGATCTCGATTGGTCGACAGAAGAGTGCAATTACTATTATCGACTTACCTGTTTGAACGCAGCTGTCACTTAATAGGGACCAGAAAAAGGTAATCAACTAGGGAGCTGCATTTTGTGTACATTATAAACTTTTCATTGGAGTTTGTTTTATTTGGTTGGCACTCCAGCAATGTTTTGAAAAATAATATTTTATAATTTTAATTAAATATAGGTATCTATGACCATTTTTTGCAGGGTTGCCTAATCAAAGTATGTTCAAAAACTTATTTCATTTGGTAAAAGGTCATTTTCATCTGGTTGACACACCGGTGGAGGACGATTTTAGTTATGACCCTCTTCTATTAGAAATCTACTTTGATAAGGTTAGTCTCTCATAGATGACGCTGGAAATTATATGCTTACAGTTACCTGCATGGTTCCTTATGGATATCACAGATATGCATCGTATTGCCTCCAGTGCCGCCACTGAGAGTGGAAGCCGAGCTGGGCCTGAGCGTGTAATTCGGCGACGAGGAACTGATTCCACTGGTGCCGCTGCCACTGAGTGGAGAAGACGCGCTGGGCAGGCTGAGCATGTAATTGTGCGAAGGTGGCCCAATGGGCTGAGGTGGTAGGCTGCTGGGCACCAAGGCATTGCTGTTTGGCTGGGTTAAGGACATGGAGGAAGACGGACCTGCAGAATTGGCGCTCATCTGTAACAAAGCCGACAGATGCAATTGTAATTGCATCTTTAGCGGTGTCGGTTTTAAAATGTGTCCCGGGTGATCCAATAATAGAGAACGCCGCCTATATCCCAGCAACGGCTCAACTTAGAGCCAAAAAATTCCATAACAAAAGTGGCCAGGGGTAATTGTTGGAAATTATTTTCAGCTTCCTAAAATGGCCGCAAAGGGGCGTATTTTTAATTTCAAAAATTCAAACGCCATTATTTTGCGAAAATTCGTAGCTAACGTACTGATTTACTAACTGTATTATGTTGAATGCTCAATTTTCGAGCTTTTTCCTCAATGTCATTCTTCCATATTTTGTTTCGTTTAAGGTGGGGGAAGTGTTGAATGTCATTTCAGGAAATATAATAACTTCTGTTTGGCTGTAAAGATTTTCACGATCTTGGTTTCATTCGAAAGAGCTTCAGTCTGCGCTCCTACTCAATCTTGTCAGATTAGTGCACTTTATGGCCTATACAAGTTAAGGATGTGTCACTGTTTTATTAAATTGTTCAAATTTTTCTTAAAGTGAGCTTAAACATTCTATAAAATGGGGAAAACCGCAGATCAACACCTATATTCGTTTCAAGTACTATTGGATAAAAAGAAAAATTCAAGCTACGAATAATTATGTAAAATGAATCAATAGGATACGATTTTAACGTATGTTACTTAGAAGGTTATTTTCAGGCTTTTTATAACTGATAGAGGTCGTAACTGTCACCTAATATATCAAAAAATACATACCTTGATTGTACCTCATAATTTAAATCTGTTGGCTTTGGAATATGCCGAATACAGAGTAGGAGTGGAGGCGCAAGCTTCCTCGATCAAGATCGTGAAAATCGATGCAGCGAAACAAAATTTATATTACGTTATCGGAAATGGCATTCAATTCTTCCCCCTCGGAACCAAAAAATTGCGAAAAACGTTATATCAAGCAATCAACATAATAGAGTTATTAAGTCAGTACGGTATTGAAAAGTTTTGGCAAAATAATGGCGTTTGAATTTCTTAAAATGAAAATACGACGCCCCTAGCGGCCATTTTAGGAAGCCGAAAATAATTTCCAGCAGTTTCCCTTGGCCTATTGTTATGGTGGTTCTAGGTAAAGCCGTTGCTGAGATATAGCCGGCGTCCTTTATTATTGGGTCACCCGGTACATAATATAATTTAAAAAGTATTCCAAAATCTACACAGGATGCTATCATAATAGCACACTGGGTTCTTAGAACGTTCAATTTATGTCCAATTCAGGTCGGTAAGTCCCGTTGGACATCATTGGAACGTCCCATTGGGGTCGTTCATGGAACTTTCCAATCAGTTGGTTATATTATATTTTTTTGAGGCTCCTTATATTGTAATCATAATTTGTCCCTTCTGCGGAGATCTAGAGAAAGGAGGATATAAGAACTCAATAGCCCTGACTGCTGTATACAAATATGCGAGTGATTCATGCTTGCCCGATGTCGAGAAGCTGTTCGAAGGGATAATATACGAACAAATCATAGAATTCATTGAAGAAACCAATATTTTGATAAAAAATCAAGCTGGATTCAGAAAAAAATGTTTCACAGAAACGGCAATCCAAATGTTGGTGGAAGACTGGAGAAGAAGTATAGATGAGAAAGAATATATTGTAACAATATTTTTAGACTTCAAAAGGGCATTTGAGGCTATAGATAGGGAAAAATTTTACAAAATTATTTAGTAAATAGAAGTCAAAAAACTAAAGTTGGAAATATGACGTCAAGTGTTCAAAATATATCAGTAGGGGTGCCACAGGGGAGTAAATTAGGGCCGTTACTATTTATTATTTACGTAAATGATATCTCTGACATTTTAGAACACTGCAAAATTCAAATATTTGCGGACGATACACTTATATATATATATATACATATATATATATATATATAGCACATAAGAATTTGGATACTGCTTTAGAACTGTTAAATAGTAATATTGAAAAACTTATGAATTGGTTAAATGTCAATAAACTTAAATTAAATATTAATAAAACAAATTGTATGTCAATAGGGATACGTTTAGGTGACAATACGTATAGGCTCATGATTAATGATGAAAAAATTGATGTAGTTGAGTCATTTAATATCATGTGTTTCACGAACATTATGAATACATTATTTCAAAAATATCGAAAAAGATAAATTACTTCTATAGAGTTTCCCATAATCTTAGTATGTATTCCAAAAAAATTGTGTATAACACTATAATTCTTCCTCATTTTTTATATTGTTCAACCATCTTGTTTACAGCTAATGAAAACACATTTTCAAAATTACAAATTCTACAAAATAAAGCTATGAGAATCATTGTAAATAAAAACAAATATGCCAGGATTAAATCTATGTTAGAAGAACAGCAGTGGTTGGATGTGAAAAATTTCATATATTAGTTAGTTCTCGTTTTCATATTCAAATTAAAAAATCATTTATTACCACCACATTTAGAGAACTTCACAAAATTAAATAGTCATTATCATAACTACGAAACTAAAGGCAGTATAGATTTTCATCTGCAAAATTGTAATTGTAGCATAACTAGTAAATCTATATTTCAAAAGGGAGTATTTGAATTTAATAAATTGAATAATGATATTAAACAGAGTTCGAATTTAAAAATGTTTAAGGTGAAATTAAAGAACCACTTTATGAACAATCAAAATACACAGTGACGTAATTTTTATTTTAATACACAAGAGTGTAAAATTACAGAAAATGGATTGAAGAAAAATATGTAACCGAATCATTATACAAAATTGACATTGTAGCATTAATGCTAAATAAATCTTCAACAACAACATACCTGCGATGGATCTCCTGCCATTCCGTTTAGTGCGTTTTGCGGTAGTGAGATGGCGCTGTCGTTGGAGGGCCAACTTAACCTCGAGATCCTGTGGTTCCTGGTGGAGCAAGATCTTTGATGGAGTTTGACACAGCGATCACACAGATCCACGCCGCAGTCAATGCACTTCGATTTCGCGGTAGCACCGTCTTCGCAGCTAGTGCATAATTTGGGTTCGTCTATTGTCACAGCCTGTCAGGAAAAACAAATTATGTGATATCAAAGGAGGGCTGAAAGCTAAGAAGTAATATGACCGCATACAGAACGAAACAAATAAATTATGGTTTTTCTAAAGTACTGGCATATCTTACAAATACCTGCATGGAAAGAGGAATATTGACAAATTTTTCGAAATTTTCGAAAAAGTTCTTAAAAAATATCTTTATTGCAAGATACAACCTCATATTTGAAAAACCTGTGACTAATGAAATTTTGTCCAAAGCCAACCCCCCTTCCCCTACATACATACATGCAACCTTATATCTGAACAGCAATACGCTTTTCATGAAGCAAAGTCACCTGGGGATGCACTTATTTAGTTGACAGCCAAAATTTACAAGTACAGAGTCCGGCACACAGCACGGATGTTTTTGAAATGGCACTCTCTGCCTATTCCGGTGAGAGTGGTGGGGAGAGTGCCGTTCGACACACGATACACATACACTGAAGATAGCATGTTGCGCATGTGCGCGGAGCTTCGTGACGTCACCTTGAGAGTTGTCGGGTCGTGGTTACCAGCGCAGCGGCAGGATTGTCGTAACGTTACTGCAGTGCACGCATATCGTGGTTAATAGTATATAGTGCGATTTGTTGGTGATTTTTGGTGGCTTTGCGACATATTTATTATTATTATTATTATTAGTTATACATACTTCATATACCCTGTGTGGTTAATAAATTGATAAAAGTGCGGTGTGCTGGCTACATCTTAGAAAAAGAAAAGACAAAATCAATGTAAAAAGCGCTAGGGTTTGCTCGAAGTAGGTACTTTTGTGAAAGTGCCTATAAGGTCAATTTGGGTTAGATAATGCCAATCCTAAAATTTATTTAAGTCTGTATCGTCACCTGGACCTTCTACATCTTCGTTTCAGTGTCCAATACCTATTAACAAGACGTCTTGGTCAAGATGTGATAGGAAACTTTTTCGGAGTAATTAGGGCAAAAGGTGGTCTTCTTGATCATCCAAGTCTCATAGAGTTTAAGTAAAGAATAAGGTCATATATTTTGGAGAGACGATAGCGCATACTCAGAGTATTGCGGCATAGAGTCAGAGGATACTCCAGAGATTCGACTAATCGCATCATAAACGAATAAACTGAATGCACCTGAAGTATCAGCTGACTATAACGAGGAAGTTTTAGTGGAAGAAATAGATGAGCTCGAGTATCACTGGCTGGAGCCAACTTTGTTTGCCATAAATTGCAATATCAATACCTTTCACAGCTTTCATGAATTAAATTGAGAAGCTGAATAAGGTGTTTACTACATTCAATGGGACGGAATAGTGACAGAAAAGCAACATTTTATAGGCGAACTTCTGTTGAAGAGCAGCAACATTGACTACCCTGAAAAAGCTAAAAAACTGTTTTTCAGGTCAAGGATGTTCTTCCGTATCAAAGAACTGAATGAAAGTTTGAAAGACCAGACAAATCGTAAAAGGAAATGGAAAAAAATTGTTGCTTAGACTAAGTCATTTCCATTTATTGTTATACCACCAGCTTACTGCAAAAAGAAGATAACTCCATTTTCCTACTTTTTGAGTTGCGTACATTTTCACACTTACATGTACTTAGGATGTTCTGTGGAATAAGGATAAATACATATAGTACATTATTATGACATGAACATATTTATCCTGCTCCACAGAACATACTAAAATATAGGTAATGTAGAAAAATGGAGTAATCTTGTTTTCACAGTGAAGAGACGATACGCTCTATTGTGGAGCTAGAAGCCGTTTAAGCTATGCCCTGTGAAATAGGAATTACAGGGTTGAAATCTTTTATTAAAATCCATCAGTTTGTTTTGTATAAAATTTTAATGTAGCCAGTGTCACTCGCACCGCTAAGACGAATCCAACGACACCTCATATGTGAAAATCCGTCCAGCCGTTTGGCCTGTAGGTGAAAATATGCCCCTTATCCATATCAACCCAAATGATAGTCACTCTCCGCGTGACGTCATGCGCGATGGCGGACGAAAATCGAACAGCGCAGCATACGGCCCTGGTTTTGTCCGACAAAATGACTCATCACTGCTGTACATCGTGAGTTTCGTCGCCACTTCAATATTCATCGCAATCGAGCTGTTCCTTTTCGAAACACCATCCTTCGTTTGGTTCACCAGCCGAATTGAAGTTATTGACTGATGAAAATCCGCGACAGTTATATGAAAGACATTTGCACACCCCAAAAGTGACGGATTGGTGCGCTGTATCGCAAATTTGCATGAAATGATCAGCAACTTCCTTTCACAGGAGTTACGACAACGTGTTCCATTCCGACGTGTATGGTTGTAACAGGATGGGGCAACTGCCCACACAGCCAGAGCAACGATGAACGTTGTGCGACCGCCTTATTTCCAGGTTTGGTGATGTTCATTGGCCTCCTCGGTTCCCAGATTTATCCATCTGCGATGTTTTCCTATGGAAACACCTCAAGGCTCGTGTAAACGAGCACAAGCCCCGAACTCTGGACGAGTTGAAGGAGGTAATTCGCGTGGAAGTCGCCCAAGTTGAGAAAACTATGTCTACGCGAACCTTCAAGAACGCCTCCAGCAATGCATCGTCAAAAATGTTGATGTGATTTTCCACACTTTTGTGATTCTTTGAAAACAAGACCAAACAACTCAGCTGCGAAAAGGCTGTGACGTCACGTTAAGTAGGCCAGTTCAGATTCTTATGGCGTTTCGCCATGCTGGCTGGTAAGAGCGGTGTTGACATATCTAGGTATGATATAGCAGTATCGAAATCTGTACTAATTAAGTATACCTCTCTGTGGGCGAATTTGTAAGATATACTCGGGGCCTGCGCAGCTTCAATGATGATCTATTTACTCTTTCTCATCTGCCTCAGTATGTCAAGAATACAGTTTAGATATTACATTCAATCTGTCACGTGTGAAGTCTAACATGTGTGCAAAAATGAAATATGTGGCAACATAGCAGCTAACCTCAAATTCTGAGTCGGTTATCATGTATGAATTATGAATATTTATGTTTATTATTGTTGTTTTAAACTTATATTTGTGTCTCGCAATTGTTTCCCTATGTTTTCAAAATGCCTTACAAGTGCCGCGTTCCAAATTGTGCCAGTAATTACGCGGAAGGTCCGAAGGTTCCGTTCCCCGTGAATGAATGGCTCAATGCCATCCCTCGTAGTGCTTTAGTGTTTAGTGATTAAAAACAATACTAGAGAATCCAAGATTTGCTTTGCTGAGGAACACCATCATTTGGGAATCCACCGATTACCCAAAATACTTTTCAAAGGACAACTCAATCTGAAGAAGCCGAAATGAAACATTGCGGGAGAAGGAACTATGTACTTAAATCAGTGCAAAATAGCATTGATAAGTATTTCTCCTAACAAAAATGTACAAGTTTTCAATATATTCAGACTTTCGCACTTTTCAGTTCATGGCAACTCCAGATGAGTGGCATAAAGTTGTTCAGGATAAAGTTCGGATATAGACCAGCTATTATAACACACTCTGCAGTTGTTGATAAAGATCTGGATGTAAAATGTACTCCCAAGAACTGACACTCAACTCCTCGGGTAATATTAAAGACTCCATATTTAGACACACTTTGGCTCTATGTTGTATACAATCAGTCCACGTTTATATAGATTCATTAGGAGCCATAGAGGACTTATTTTACGACATGAAAATACCCTGAAGTCCATGTGTAATACATTGATGGTCGATCCAGTTCCAGACGAGAAACATGACTTTTCAGGCTATGCAAAAAACCTTTTCAGATATATAAAACCAGTTGACAACATGATTTTATTGATGGATAAAATACACATTCAGCCATGTTTAGATTTCAAAGCGAGTAATATTGTTGGAACATCAATTAATAATGCTTCATTAGCTACAACAGTATTTATGATTTCAAGCTTTTATTGAAAGAAGCTGTTCACATCTGACCTGTTTCTAAAATTGAGTCTAATATAATATACAACATTACAAAAAAACTTATTATTGGATTAGAGGAAATATTTTACGAAATTGTTTGTGTTGTGATAATAATGCACTGACTAGTAAAGTGATGACACATTTTTCTCCAGATGCAAGCGTTGTTTATCCGTTGGATAAAAACGACTTTTCTTCGTTTTTGATACAGTGTATTCGCAATAATTGGCTGAATTCAAAACCAGACCAACTTTTTAATCCAGATTTTGAAATGCATGAGGTTAGTGTTACTTCATTTAAATCTCTTAAAACATTGTACCAAATGGAAAGTCATGAAATATTGGAACATACTAATGGTTTGACCCTACAAGCTTTATATCCTACAAGCCTTGAAATACATGTTCATTCAGCTCTCAAGATATTCAATCCATTTGTAATTGATGCAGTATCAAGGTTTGGCAAAAACATATTGCACTCCTAAGAGACAGCAACGTTTTTATCAAGTTTTTGTTATCCTCTTGTTTTCCTTATTCTTTTACTGGCAAGAGCTTACCTCAAACCCCCTTGGTGTTTGCTGGACACAACTGTTCAACAAATACCAGTGGCGAAGCGTCCACGTAACCATTGTTACCATTGGTAACAGTTAAAAATCTTAAAAATGAATATTTTATGACTAAGTACTGTGAAATAATTTCATTTATTTGTTTACCAACAGCGATATGTAATAGTTTTCTTTTGGCACTAGAACGTGGCGTCCCATTAGCCAGATCCAATCTTGTATACGTATATCTCTAATTTTTGGACAAACACACGACGTCACAACATCCATGGCTTCCAAATGTGATTTTCGAAGGCGAGATTCGTACTCGCGGCCCGCCTGGCCGGCTGATCACTAGCACGACACTCTGACCCACCCATATGTAATAGTAATTCAGTAAATAGCAAATCAGCCCCACTAAAGTAATGCGCCCTATAGTGTCTAGGTTTTGCAAACACGATGAAGCTGACTCGCCTCGACTTGGTTGTCGGTTGTTACCATTTTCATTTATGGATACACTT